TCTCTTCTAGTAGCGGTCCGTCATGAGGACTTCCAAGAACCCACGTTACTCCACACTCTGATTCATGAAGCAACTTCTCTTCTCGCTCAGGCGGACCTCGTACAGGCGGCTCGCTCATTCCTCGAATGGGGCTTTACCATGTATCTCTTGACCTCTCAAGTGGATCCAAGGTTTCCTGATGTGCTCATTCGCGTGTGCGCTCAGGCTCATGATTATTCACTGGCCACCGATGACGTTCAAATCGCGAACATAGGCAAGGGTCTGTTGCATTGGATCGACAGGCAAGCTCTCGAGCTTTGCCGAAGTTCCAAGATCAGGTCGCAGGTCATGAACGCCCTGTCAGCTTGGCCGCATCAGCCCTCGTCTGAGCTGTTGTCAGTTTATGAGGATATCACTGCGGATGGTCTTTCGATGATTTTGAGCGACTTTCGCATTGCATCCAACAAATTTCGCCTTGTCAGACGGCTTCGAGACCTCGCAGAGCAGCGCCTCTATGATCAAGCGCAATTCGCTAAGACAGATTTTTGGCGCCTGAAGGATTTCATTCCTGCCAGGGACCAGCTCCAATCTGACGATATCGACGCATTCGCTTCTTTGTTGATTGCAAATAATGGGGACATCTACAGCTTCGGAAGTGAACAGCCCTTTCTGCAAACATTGCGGGGACGACATCGGCGCAGTGCAAAAAAGTCACAGATGGAATCTTCACCCCAGCGCGTGATCATTCAGACGCTGCTTGCTATGATGGACGGAAACTCACCACAAGAAGTCAGTCTCGCTTACTCCACCCTTCGATCCGTTGTATCAGCTTCTTCGTCGGACATGCTCCTCCTTCAATCTTGGCCTATCGAGTCGAGAGCTGCTTTGGAATATCTCCAACAATATCCTATCAAAGCGAGGTCTCGGTGTGTCCGTGGCATTGACGAACTTAAGGCGACGGTTGAGTGTCATATGGAGTCTGAATTCCAGAAATGGGTCAGCCAGCTAGCGGTCTTGCTGAGCGACGTGCTCAGCGCTGTAGACCCGTTTTACGCACAATTCTCGACATTTATGGAGTGCGATGTTTCTTTTGCCGATGAAATGCTTCCCGTATTGGTCCACACTTTGCTGCAGAACGAACTTGATCAACCAGAATCAACGGGTGCGCCTTCGAAATCTCGTCTATCACAATATTTCAGCACCATGCTAGTGTTGGAGAATGTCCATTTGTCCTGCTTAAGGTCCATTGTCGGTGTCGTGCTTCACCTTCGCAACTTTTGCCCGAAAGGATCCACCGATTCTCTGGCTCATGACAAATGGCTTGATATCGATTACATGCTCCTTGCAAGAAGTGCAGTGACGTGCGGCGCGTATACGACTGCTCTCCTATTCCTCGAGCTCGCGGAGGAGTACCAGTCCTTGGACATGGACAATACAGCAGGCACAGAACATCTCCTTTTCGAAATTTACAGCCACATCGACGAACCCGATGGATTTTATGGGATCAAGACCGCCGATCTACGGCATTTCCTCATCAAACGGTTTCATCATGAGAAGCAGTGGGAGAAAGCATTTCGTTTCCACGGTGCTGCCCTTGAGGCCGGAAGCCCTGAGGCAGTCGACACAGACGGTCTGCTCAGTTCTTTCCATGCTTTTGGCTTCGACCGTCTTGCTATTGGCACTCTTCAGACGTCCCAGATTGGCCTCGACACGAGGAACTCCTCGTCCGCCATGTGCTACCAACTGGGTTGGCGTACTGAAACCTGGGACTTACCTGACAATACAGGGGATGGTTCCGGGGCCACGCTTTATCAGGCGCTGCGAGCGGTGTATAGGGAACGGGACCCGCGTGTAGTCGACGTCATTGTTCGCAGCTCGCTTGGCGATGAAATGACCCGCCTGCGGCAGCTTGGGACTGAGAACATCTCGGGTATCCGCGAGGTTGCTCGTAACATAATGTGTCTCGGTCAGATTACCCAGTGGAGGAGTCATTCTATGCAGCAGCAGCTTTCAAGCAAGTCAGAAGATATTCGCAATCTGCCCAAGCTCGATGAAATTAATTCCGACTTTGAGTGAGTTTTGACAATGATTGTGATCTAGCTTGCGTTGATATTTTTCATGTGCGACAGATTTACCGATTTGGAACAGATTCTTGCAACGAGGATCTCATTGGTACGGTCGGTCAGGCAGAGGGAGGAACGAAAGCAAATCGGTGATCTCGCCACACCATTTGTCCGTGGGATTCTAGACATCGAGAAGCGATGCCTCGTGCGCCTATCCATTGCCGCTCGGAAATCTAATCAATTGCAAGTGGCATTGAACTCTATCGTGAAAGCCCAGCGACTCGAGAGAAACGCCAGCTTTGAAGTTGCTCGTGAATTCGCCAACGTTCTGTGGCTCCAGAAGGAGCAAAAGTTAGCAGTGCAGTACCTCAAGGACTTGGTAAATGGTCAGGACTTGGGTGCTGATGGCACGATAGAAAAGGCGTTGTCGTTTGCTCGACTGGTACGCTCTTTTTTCTGTAATAGTGCAAGTTATTCATGTCTTTGATAGGGAGACTGGATCGCCGAGGCATGCTTAGAAAAACCAACTGACATCAAGCGCAAATTTTTTGATCCTGCCGTCGAGCTCGCCATCGCAGCCGAGAAGCGGACGGACGTTCGCGACCACGCGTGTGCCACTGTTTTCCGCAAGTGTGCGCTTTTTGCAGACCAACAGTATCATTCGATCCTGAAGTCGTCAGACGCCATGCGCTGGCACATCTATAAAGAGCGCAAGAAACAGGAGGTCAAACAAAGAGAGAGCCAGCTGCAGAAAACCCAACAAGGAACAAATGAGTACCATGCATTAGTGGAAGAACAAAAGAAGGCAAGAACTGTACTAGCTGAAGATTTGAAGGCCTATGCGGGCCATACGGAGGCGCGAGACGCATTCCTTGAGCTAGCTATTGACATGTACTCTCGCTGTTTGGCTTCCTCCGATCGCTTTGATGACGATGGTCCCATCCGCTTTTCATCCCTTTGGTTCGCAAATTTTGACGACCTCGGCATCCAGGACAAGCTCAAAGCCGCTCTCGATCGCGTGCCCTCCCGCAAATTTGTCTTCCTATCTCATCAGCTGTCTGCTCGCATGTCAAAATCCTCGGCAGAGATCCCGAAGAACCAGCAAAATCTTCAAGGACTAGTCTTGCGCATGTGTCAAGAGCATCCTTTTCACAGTCTGTACCAGGTTTTCTGTTTACGTCCAGAGCAACCCCAGGGTGTGCGAAGGACTTCCTCGCGATTTGAGCTGCCATCATCGCAGTCGGATCGCGGTGGAGCTGCGAGCGCCATCTTCGATAGGCTGCTCAGTGATCCCATACAAACAGCGAGGATCCGATCGATCGAGCACGTCTGTAACGCTTCTCTGGAATGGGCCAAGTATCCCGTCAAGCATGGACCTGTGATAAAGAAAACCAATAACGGACTACTCATCCCCGATGCCTTGTCCATTCGGAAGCTGCGCGATGTCCAGGTTCCTGTCATAACCTGCCGTACACCCATCGATCCAACCCTCAAGTACAACGATTGTATCTGGATCAGTCGCTATAACCCAGAATTCACCACAGCCGGGGGTGTCAACCTCCCGAAAATTAGTGTCTGCTATGGGAGCAATGGGGAACAATTTAAGCAGCTCGTACGTCATCTTCATAAAACTCATACGCGTTCTGACATCAGACATCTCTGTAGTTTAAAGGCGAGGGCAACGATGATATGCGGCAGGATGCTGTTATGGAGCAAGTTTTCCACCTGTGCAACATGGTGCTGCGCTATGATAAGGAAACTCGGAGACGGAATCTTAACGTCCGCGATTACAAAGTTCTACCTCTCGCCACCCAAGCCGGAGTCATCGAATTCGTAGGCAACACCAACCCCCTCCTAAAATGGCTCCAAGACGCGCACCTCAGGTAATTCACTCTCACTTCCCGTCTATGGCAAACTTAAAAAAGTCGCGCACTCGTAGGTACCGTCCTGGCGACATGAAACACACACAAATCCTAACGATGTTAAAACAAACGCGCGAGAAACATGGCGGAAAGACCGAAGCGATGGTCAAAACCTTCCAACTTATATGCGAACGAACCCAACCCGTGATGAGGCATTACTTTACCGAAAAGCATAAAACCCCCATCACCTGGTTCGCCATGCGTCTCAACTACACTCGCAGCGTTGCTACCAATTCCATCGTGGGGCACATCCTAGGTCTGGGGGACCGCCATGTACAGAATATACTGATTGATAATGGGTCGGGAGAGGTGGTGCATATTGATTTAGGGATCGCTTTTGATCAGGTGCGTTCGTATCATGTCTGACCAAACGTCCACTCACTCTGCACAGGGCAAACTATTGCGTATCCCAGAAAGAGTACCGTTCCGAATGACGCGGGACATGGTCGATGGGATGGGGAAGTGCGGAACGCAAGGCGTGTTCCAGCGCTGCGCAGAAGAAACCCTCCGCGTGTTGCGTGACAGGTCAGACGTCATACTCACCGTGCTTGAGGTGTTCAAACACGACCCGCTGCATTCTTGGCACGTCTGCTTCTCCTTCCCCGCATTCAACGTTGACTAACCCCCCACAATAGGACAGCGAGCGAGCTAAAGATTAAAAAAGTCCAAGACAGCACAGCAGAGCCTACCCGAGTTGCCCGCGATGTGTCCCGCTTCGGTGCCATCGCCCTAGACCTTCAGAGCGGGTCAGCAGACGAAGCTGCCGATCGTGCGCTTGCAGGTGTCGCGCGCAAGCTCGACAAGGCTCTGAGTGTAGAGTACACAGTCAATGAACTCATAGCGGAGGCTACGGATATCGTGAACTTGGCAACTATCTACCAAGGTGAGTTCTGGCCGTGTTCTGATCCTTGGTCTGGTTGATCGCTGACCGGCTTGGTAGGATGGAGTCCCGACTACTAGACATCGAGGACATTTTAAAATGAAATCCTTCATCAGTTGCTTATGCATGTTTGTCTCGCTTTCCTGGACTACACAAGTTTTGAGCATTCAATTCATTAGTCTCCACGTGCATTGTGTATCCCTAGTCATTCTCATTTCTATACATCGATCAATCGTGCATACACGACAGACAAAACGACATGAGATTACATCAATCAAACAACAAACGCACAAAAAGAATAAAATGGAAAAACTCCAACACGAGCGAGCGCAGGACAAGCACAAAAGGTCCAGTCGTCGTCATAGGTGCGGGGTGGGGGGAATCACGGGGGTAAAACAAACAAACGAGAAGGAAGATAAAGAGAACACCGCAAAAAGAAACAAGCAAAAAAGTACAAAAAAGAAAGGATGAAATTCTTTGACGCGTAATTGTAAAGGAACGCGCGCATTTTCGTCTACAAGTATAGATGAATTGGGTGAATGATTTGATACGACACGATTGTTGTATGATGTTTAGAACACGGGGTGAGGATGGATGCATGTATTACAAAACTCGGTATACGGATTTGGTATCAGCGAGTGCGTTACAGTGGGCGGGTAGATGCAAGAGGTAGATGGTTCGGCATGGAGCAACAAGAAGCTTAAAGTTCAGGTGTAGAGCGCGGGTTACCGTTATGGCCTAGGACAGGAATGGGATGGAAGACGAACAGATCACTTGTTCTTAGCAATCTCCCGCGCAGCTTTGATAAGGGGTGAAAGTGTGCGGAGCGGTTCGCACTGTTTAAAGAACGGATGCTTCAAGTAAAAAACACATAAGGTCCAAATCACAGGTAGCTGAAACCGAGGCGACACACCTGCAACAACTCGCTCGCCGTAGGTCGTTTCTCAGCGTCCACCTCCAACGTCTTTGCAAGATAATCACTAAATATCGACGAAAGCGCCTCGGGGTTCGCAATCGTAGGCGTTCCGTTCGTGGCGATCAAATAGAGCGCTTTAAGTGGGTTTTGGTTGAGATACGGGGGTTCGCCTTCAATCATTTCTATATAGACATTTTCAGTAAAGTACAGCACAAACAAAAGAGGAGAAACGCATACCGATGGCCATGATCCCCAAACTCCAGATATCAACCTTAGGCCCATACTCTTTCCTGGTCACCACCTCCGGGGCCATCCAATAAGGCGTGCCTACCATCGTCGTGCGCTTCGAGCTTGCAGGGTCTGAAATCTGCGCGCAAAACCCAAAGTCCGCTGCGGGCACGTCAAAATGACACGACCACACGTAAGAGAGCCACTCACTGAGTTTAATATCCCCCCCAAGGCTCAACAACACGTTATCGCTCTTGATATCCCTATGAATAACGCCATGACGATGGAGGTGCTCCAGCCCCTGGCACGTTTCCCTGCTCACAGCAGCAATCTGGCCCTCTGTCATCAAGTTCGCAGTAACGACATCTGTCAAGCTTCCCCCCTCCATATACTCCATCACGACCCAAAGGTCGTTCTTGTGCAAAAACGAGTCGATGTAGTTTACGATATTCGGGTGTCGAGAAGCGCGCATGACGAGAATCTCGTTGATAATGAGGTCTTTCTTGGGTTGTTTATCCAAGTCCATTTGCTTGATCGCGACTGATAAATTGGTGCCCACTTGGTATGCTGTGTACACGCCTCCAGAGGCACTACAAAGGGCTCAGTAAAGGTAGGAACAAAACAGCACTACCTACCCTTGCCCGATCTTGACGAGGTTTCGGTATAGCTTCGTCGGATCTGCATCGGTGCATATCTGCTGCAGCCGCTTGATGATATCGTCTTCTTTATCACCGCCGCCCTTTTTCTCCCTGCGACGCGGGGTAGCGATCCCAGCTTGCTTTGCGAGGGTTGGGGGTTGTGGGGGTGGTGGTGCGGGCTTAGGCTGGTCACGATCTCTTTCACGCTCTCTTTCACGGTCACGGTCGCGATCCCGTTCGCGGTCGCGGTCCCTTTGACCTTTGGTGCTAAGATCGGTCTGGCTAGTGCCGATACTAGGGGATCGAACCCGGGTCATGGTTGTGTTGGCGCGTCCCAGGTCCTGGGATTTGGATGATTTGGGAGGTGCTCGTTGGGATGTACTGCGGTCGAGTGCAGCTGCTGGGAGGGGGGGTGCTGGGCGGATGGGGGTCGTGGCGGGTGATGGAGCATAGGGAATTGAAGGGGAAGGAAGGGGCTTTTTTGGAGGTTGAGGTGCGCTGCGCTAGAAGGAGACATGCTTAGGTGAGCGGAGATAAAGAAAGTGAGTGCATACTGGATTGGCGAAACCCTCGTTGGCGCTTGTAGATTGCTCGACGCCTACGGCACCCATCTTGTCCCATACGTCGCCTCTTCCTTCTTGATAGAACTTTACGATTTCCATAACTGCTTGGGGGTTCTTTTCTTGTTCGCTCCTGCTGATACCGGATTCTTGGAGTAGCTGCTGCCATTCCTTTGGGAGACCTGTGAACTCGCCTGTGGAAGAGTTGAAACCGACATGTGTAAGGTGAACAGGATCGTAAGGAGTGCTGATTTCTGGACGCTTTGAAGGAGCGAGAAAGTCGAACATGCCACCCAGCATGCCACCCTTTTTAAGCTTTACGGTAGTGGCGCTACGACTGCGAGTACCGGAATTCGTACTTGTAATTGCGGGTAGATCGGGTAGGATGTCGACTGGCTCTGAAGTGTATGGAGTATCTGTGATTGGCACTGATAGACGACGTGTTGCGATGGGGCTACTGCTTGTAAAGATATCGTTTAGAGTTGCGGTGTTTGCCCTACTTGGACGAGTAGGAGGAGTAGGTGACATTTGTTGTTTTATTGGAGCTGCAGCAAAAGGATCTGGAGCTGAAAGGCTATGTTTCCTTCCTCTTGACTGTGCTTTGTGCAGACTATTCCTAACTTTTGGTGAAGAGGGATCGATTGGTGTTTTACTACGGGTTGATGGCGGTTGTGGTGCAGAGCGAGAAGGAGTCAATGAAGGTAGAGAACTTGTTGAATAAGGATCTTTGTAACTGTAAGTTGCCGCTTGAGCAACTGTAGCAGCAGCTAGAGCTGGGTCCGCTAGTAGATCCGTATATTCTTGAACGCTCTCTCTTGAAGGACGATGATATTCTATTGTGATTTTACTTTGACGGCGTGTTGAAGATGGCGTGTGTCGATGGACACTCATCGCGGCTGCTAGTAACCGTTGCTGCTTTGATGGTTGGCAACCTAGCGAGTGTGAATAATTTCGTCGTCACTGTGAATGACGATCAAGACAACCACAATTTAAATCGCCAGTGTCGATCAAGTCGATGTCCTCGAGCAGTTTGTTGGATCTAACAAGTCCTTGCTCGATGCAAGGAACGCCCTACGAGTCGACTTGTGATGACAAAGCTTTCTCAGGTCACACGTGACAGGGGCTCAGCGAATGAAAATTTAAATTATATCGGTGAACCCAGTTCATTATGCGGGCGTTGATGTCAGACCAATTTTCGGAGGCGGTGACCCGGGTGACCGGGGTCCTTTAGAGGGGTACCTACTACTTCCGATCGTAACGGGCAATTCATCCCGCCGGTACTGCCTTTTTGAGACAATCATCCTAAGGTCTTCCAACTCTGCACACGAAATTTAAAGGGGCTTTCAACTCTTCCATTATCCGTCCATGACCTGCCATGACACGCCGCACTGCCAACAGAGAGCACGCCGTAGAAACTGACTGCAAAAACGGCGACAAAGACACTCATTTCAGGTGCCAAATCGACCAAGCAATAAATATAGACCAAAAGAAAATCGTGGAAGACTATGTGGAAGAGAAAGGCGAAAGGAAAGAATTTCCAGAGCTACGCGGTCGCGACAGGGGTCGTCCCCCCGTATTGAGGAAGAAGAAAAGCTCGTATGACTTGCGCGACATTTTTCAAACTCAGGCAGCCTCATCTGCCTCTTCGTCGCCGGTCACGAGCAACGTTTCATCGCCGGTTATCCCATCACCAGACGCGAACAAAGTCATTTCACTAGGTGAAATTATCACCGCACCCGCTCAGCAGCAGCAGACGACCCCACTCAACCGTGAGTCTTCTTCCGAGTCAAGCATCCCATCGCTAATGACAAAAGACGACTCACGACCTCATGACAAAAACGTGCCAGAGGACGAAGTATAAGATGCATCTAATTAGATGTCCCACCTTAGCAAAACCTTTCACCGAAGGTTACCACAATCAAAATATCTCACCAGACACGGATCCAGACTCAGACCACTGACATCATGTTTATGTCCATGTTTTTATTATGCGCACTTCTTCTCACACACATACCTGCAGCTGCCAATGTACTATCTCACATCTCACTAGCACTCACCGACTCAATTTGGAATTGAACATCATTACTCGTGTCAAACGTTTCAAAGTCAGTGCACGCAAATTTAAAAGTGATGTGATGCGCAACACGTCAGATGCGGCTAGATCAGGGGTTTATTAGTGTAGGATATTTCGGCGGTGTAGCATACTTACTGAGCTGCGAGTAGGCGTGAGTAATTAGGTTTTTAGTCACTGACGCGCTTGTTCTTTCAAACTCCGCCCGCCTGGGCATATTACATAAGGCTTGTGTGCAGATGTACGTAAACTCGCATTAGTCACGTGTTCGTGAAATCAATCACAGCAGGAACACAACTCGCCTAGTGAAGCTCATGGGATCACATTCTGAATTGGAGCAACTACCAAAGACAAGGCAGGTCCCCCGAACAATCTAATATCAATGTTATTCAATGAATTTCATAGCGTACTCATACTACTGCGAAAACCTCCCACATTGAAATGTGATCATTGTGTTCGGCCCACCCGGGTCAACCCACTGGCAGTTGACGTACACTGCGATGGATCCGAACTTACTAGTGGTTCCATGGCTATACTCATGGTCTGATAGTTTTGCACACGGACCATCTAAATTCCCCGCTGTCAATAAAACGTCCGCCAAATGTTGACACTGACTTTCCCATTTCATCCCAGACCAGTACCGGACGATGTCTCCTCCACTTTTCCTGGGCTTTGACTTGTCCACTCAACAGCTAAAGGCAATCGTGATCGCGGAGGATGCTTTCATCGTGCACGAGAGCGCCGTGCATTTCGATCGAGACCTTCCCACTTATGGCACAACGAATGGTACAGTCAATGGTCCAGATGAAGGTGAGGTTACGAGCCCGGTGCTCATGTGGCTCGAGGCCATCGACCTCGTCATGCAGCGCATTAAAAATACTGGCGTTGACCTCAGTGCTATTACCAGTATATCTGGTGCTGGACAAGTGGGTGTATACAGTTTTAATGCGAGGTGAGCCTAATAATTCATACGTGAGTCCAGCAACATGGTTCGGTATACTGGTCTGAGGGGGCCGAGAAAGCCCTTGCGATGATGGATCCCAAGCGCTCGCTGGCTGACCCGGGCCATCTCGCACCCTATGCATTTGCACTGCCCAATGCACCCATCTGGCAGGACTCTTCGACGACCAAGGACTGCCGTGAACTTGAGGCCGCTGTCGGTGGCCCACAGATACTTGCAGATCTCACAGGAAGCAGAGCTTATGAGCGGTTCACAGGACCCCAGATTGCCCGAGTGCGTAATGCATACTTCATTACCAGTGTCCAATGATTGAACACCAATTCTTACTCTACGAAGATCCGTCGCCTCAAAACCGCCGCTTACCGTGACTCTGCGCGCATATCTCTTGTCTCGTCATTCATCCCTTCACTGTTCCTTGGGCATATCGCTCCGATCGAGGTCTCCGACGCGAGCGGGATGAACCTGATGAACGTACTCACATGTAAGTGGGACTATGCACTCCTTGAGGCATGCGGCGGTCCCGAATTACGTGCTAAAATTGGCCCTGAGCCTGTGGTCGGCGGTACCATTCTTGGACGCATCTCTCGGTGGTGGGTTGAGCGCTGGGGATTCAACCCAGGTCTGCATCTCATTCTTCATTGGTTGGCAATATTTCTCATCTGTGTCATCTATAGATTGCATAATTGCACCGTTCACGGGTGATAACCCTGCGACCGTCGTTGCCCTTTCAGCACCTGGTGATGCAATCCTGTCCCTAGGCACGAGCACAACACTTCTGTTGAGCATTCCCCCTGCCGACTTGCCCCCCGCCCGTTTCACTACTTCGCACCTCCTCTCGCACCCTACAACTCTTGGTGCACAGATTGCGATGCTTTGCTACAAGAACGGTGCTCTTGCACGAGAGCAAATCCGTGACCGCTGTGCTGGCACAGACTGGGCACGGTACAACGAGCTCGTAGAGCAGTCGCCACATGGTAACTCTGGGTTCATGGGATTCTACTTTCCCCTCCCCGAGATCATTCCTGCAGGAGTTCAGGGCGAATTCATATTTCAATGCAAAGATACTGAGGCACCACGACTAGTGCACGGACTAAAGCCAGATGCCTCAAAGCACGCACGTGCGATCCTCGAGAGCCAATTCCTCAGCATCAAATCACGCATTGCTGCCATTCTTCCAGTGCACTCGCCGCCGCTGCAGCGGCTGATTGTTACTGGTGGTTCATCGGCAAATCAGACGATCCGGCAACTTGCAGCTGACGTGTTCGGGATGCGTGTTTACGTTGCAGAGAGCAAGGAGGCTGCGGGGACGGGAGGCGCAATGCTTGCCAAGTTTGCGTGGTGGAAGGCGCAAGTTGGGGACACGAGTGGGAGCTTTGAGGAGATGATAATGGAAACGGGTCAAGTGGAGAGGATGAAGCTGGTTGCAACTCCGAAAGATGAGGTGACCAAGGTATATGATGGCCTCGTGAATAACTATAGGCGGTGCGAGGAGCAGGTGGTACACCTATGTAGGCAAGCGTGATGGAAACGTTTTGTATCTGAAGCGGATAAATTGCAATTTACATCTACATATTTACAGACCATCATTAGACCATACTGTATCTTCTCCTTGTTATGTTTAGATATTAATCTTTATGAGAATGAACGAGTACTCTTCCCTTGTTTATAAGTTGTTTTTCTTGTGCATATTCCAAGTAACTTTACGATCACCATAATTGGCATATTCTAAAATTCGAATTCGATTATATGTGGAGACTTTTTCAGTACACCATCCATCGGGCACCACTATTGGTACGTTCACCGGTCTGTTTTCTGGCTAACTGATTCACAATCCTTACACCAACAGTCAAAGGCATTGCGTAGAAGGAACATACACGCCATGTACTATGACCTGCAGGACTCAGAGCAGTCACACTCTCCCCCTGCCAAACGACCAATCACCGAAGTGCAAGCAGGGATCTCAGAGTCCTTCAAACGTGCGAGGATTGAACATGAGGAGCCCGAGAAGACATTAGATGCAACCGAACATGAAGGTCCTTCCGACACTCCCGCCGCTGATACGAAACAGGGAAAGCGGGATGCAGCGGGCTGGGCGAAGTCTAGGCGGGGAAAGGCCAAAGATACGAAGAACAAGGGACGCAGACGTGGGACGCGTGACCAAGATAAGGATGGTGAAAAAGAGGGTGAGGAGCAGAGCCCTAGAGTCCCGCGCCTGCCTAAGAAACAGAGCGCATTGCTTATCGGGTTCTGCGGGACAGGATGCAATGGAATGCAAATGTACGCTGAATTTTGGATTTTCTCTTTCACCCTCAGTTTCTCGGCGGTTTCTTTTCTTGTCTTCTATCTCTGTCCTACTAGGGAAACATTCATATCTTTCTCCTATCCTTCTGCTATCCCTGAACTGCTCAACATGCGTGCGTGATGACAGACAACCCGACGTACGGACGATCGAAGGTGTCCTGTTCGACGCACTCGTGCGTGCCGGAGCAGTCTCATCAGACAATGCAGACGACCCCGTGAAGGTATGACACTTACAGGGGCATGTCATGATGTGTTGCTCAGAGGCATTCATATTTCCAGGTAAATCTAGGGCGGGCTGCACGCACCGACGCAGGAGTCCACGCAGCTGGCAACCTGGTGTCTATGAAACTGATCACCGCGATTCCTGGGGTGACAGACTGGGTGGCACGTGTAAACGAAGAACTCCCACAAGAGATTCGTGTTTGGGGCTCCGTATGCATTCTATCCTTTTCAAGGCAGGAATTAACTTTGCAGTGGTTCAGGTCCGCGTGCAAAATTCATTTAACGCTCGCATGTGGGTTCACGAGAGTCATTTCACGTAGTTCATTTCACAAGCTTTCTCTCAGGTCTTGCGACAGCCGCAAGTACACATACTTCTTCCCGTCGTATCTCCTTATACCTCCAAAGCCTGGGTCAGGATTTCAGCGTGCATATGAAAAACACGCACAGTCCATGCAGGGCATTGTCCCTCTAGATTCTTCCGCTCATTCCTTCTGGAGTGCACCTGAATCTCATTCTTCCACCCCTATGGATGATCTCCTACGCAAGCGCTCGTGGAGGATAAGTTCAGATCAGGTAGAGCTCATCCGTCGGACTGCAAATAAGTTCGAAGGGACGCATAACTTCCATAACTTTACTGTTGGACGCGAGTTTGGAGATCGCAGTAATCAGCGGCATATGTGGAAAATTGAGGTAGGCTGGAGAGCTTGTTATTAGTTTAACCTCTGACAGCATCTCGATAGATATCTGACCCTGCGGTCTATGGAGACACTGAGTGGATAAGTGTCCTCTTCCATGGGCAGAGCTTTATGTTGCATCAGGTGAGTTGGTTTTCACTGAAAAGGCCGCTCTTATTCATTTTATTTAGATCGTAAGCGTCTGTACTTTGGTAGCAGTGATACGATGACAAATTGGTCGCAGCGCAAAATGATGTCCGCTCTTGTCTTGTCTTGTAGGACAAGTACACCAAGTCAAGTCATCGACGAAGTTAGCTTCTATGTCACCTGATGCAACCACGAACTAACCGGTCTCGCAGCTATACGGGCCGCGCATTGTCATGATCCCAAAGATGCCTGCTCTTGGTCTCTTGCTAGAGTACCCAATATTTGACTCGTATAACAAGAAAGTTACTTCGATCAACGAGAAGCTCGAGCCCTCCCATCCAGATTACCGACCTAAAATTGATTTTGAAAAACACCGAGAGTCTATCGATGCATTTAAACAAACCTTTATTTATGACAATATGCGGTGCATTGAGGACCGCGACGGGGTGTGGGTACCTTTGACTGTGTTCATTGCCACTTAAACTGATGAAGAGAAACAGGTTTGATGCGTGGATGCGCTCAATCGACTCATATGGAGGTGATGATTTGTTGTATTTGAACCCGAAAGGTATCATTCCTGCGGCTGCCGTTATAAAGAAGGGAGATAAGAGAGAGAATCCATTCAAGGAGAAGAGAAAGTTTGACTTGACGAGTTTCCCTGATAAACAAGGTACCCCGACTATCGAAGACGACGAGGAGACAGAGAGCAAACTCAATAAATCCCGCCTGGAGGACATGGAAGGCTAAGTAGTAGCTGTGTTTCCCATCTTGCAAGATTAGTGCATAGTCGATGTACATTATGCGAGATGGTGGAGACAAATTGGCGGATGCGATGAATGTGTCAGAGGACGGAATCTGTTTTACATATTTCCTAATGCCTGTTGCAATCGTTCCCAAATTCCACTTTGCGACAGCCGTCGACGGTGAACGACCAACATGGTCTGTAACCAGTTGACGAGCAAGCAGCCGCCTTGCTGGGATGTACATAAGCTGGCTTCCCTAACGATCTGCTGGATTGAGCAGCAGCACTTCCGGAAGCGTACACTTTGCAAATGAGCATGCCAGTGGCCACATAACTTGACATCAAAGTGTCCAGATAGATTACATCAATGGGTATGTCCTGCCAGTGTTTCAGACCCCTTGTAGCATTCCAAACCCCATAGAGAGAGGAAAGCGACAGTGCTGACTTAATCCCAGACCATAAACTGACTAGCACTGTCGTTGATATTGTTCCAGGCTTGTTAGTTTTTATGAAGCAGATATTCGCATGATGAAAATGCTGCAGCAATGCATAATGGTTCTCATAGAACTAGTACCTGAATGACGCACAAAGGGCAGTAATAATATTCTTTACTCAGTCCCATGATGTGAAACCCACAGATAGAAGCTGGACGTGCATGTACTTTGAGGGTGTCAAAGTACCGGAGCAAGTCGACGACGACAAGTCAGGAAAGCAGCGCCAGCTATGAACGTCGGACAACATAGCAACGACCGATATCATTCAAGACTGGAACTTCCTCATCGACTGTATCTCGTCGAGTAATGCTTGCAATCTATCATCCTCAATCTTTACTAAACTGCACAAGAATGTTCAGTATTTCGTTATAAACAAATAAAGAACTGATGCATTACCTTGGGATAACACTCTTTGCCTCCTCAGCATCGACAGGACATAAATTGGCGATTTGAGCGGTTTCAAATTGCGTCAATGCGGGTTCGCGTCGAAGGGTTCTAAGGTAAAGTCAGCCACGGCGAGTAGAGGGTATCAATAATAACTGAAACTGACTCTCGCACCGCACTGGCGGAATCGGTGGTGTTGAATTTCGCGAATGTCTTCACATATTCGAGGGTCTTATTATATACACTGGCAAGGGATAAGGGATTGGACGATGAGAAGAACTAGAAGTCATACGCAGTGTCTGGTGCATCCTTGTCCCTATTTTCCAACAAATACTTGACCTCGGATATCAGTAAGCAACCAGCATTGTTGAACTCTGTCAAGTAGGTTGAGAACCACCGTTACGGAAGACGGAAGAAAGCATACCTGCCCCGAGCTTAAGCGCAGAAGCATCTTCATCCTCTAGTTGAGGCCTGTGGCGTAGTCGGGTGGTCATGTTCAGCCACCGCTACTAAGTGTTTGAGCAATTTGTTTGGCAAAGACCTCCGAAAATAATACGCGTAAGCAGATACAAACAAAACTCATGGGCAAAAAGGACTTGTATTATATGTTTACACATTTTTGTAATATATCTAGTGAAAACAACTTCCGATTCCCTGTGTGCGAATACATGCAACGATAGCAACGACGTGCAGACTTAGCTAGCGCAAAACAATAGACACATCATGTGGGCGGCATCACTGAAAGCGCGTTAGGTCGACTTCGAGCTGGGTAAAGATTGAACACACCTAAGTCCTAAGTCGCAAGAGCAACAGGGGAAACTTTCGGCACGTTTGAACCAGAATCATTATCTTCCACTGATACCATCGCCATCTTGTCAACCAAAATGGCATTGGCAACAGCCTCACCGCGTAGCTTCTCGATCTTGTCCTTGTCCTGTGAGCCCCCTGGTGGACTACGGCTCTGAGGCCCCCCAGGTTTCCAAACACCCTTTGGATTGAATAACTCTACATTTGCCTTCGGCGGCGGCCTCTCGAATCCCCCGTCTGTGTCCTCAAGTCGGGTATTACAGGGAGTGCCTGTCACATTAGAATGCGCGTTGGAATGATTGGTGAGTGCATTTCCGTGTGAAGTGTTACTGCCCGGCATGAGAATGGATCGAGTCGATGATGAGTTCGTCCAGACACCTGCAACAGCCGGTATACGCTTCTCAGGCGTGGGGGACATTGACGACAGGGGAGGGAAATCTGTGGGTTGAAGTGAGACAGATGGATTTTGATGACCGCGCTGGGAATTGTTCCTAGCGGGAGACATGGTTCGGGAATTCATCGAGTGATCGTGATGCCGAGGATGGGTAGCGTGGAGTGTAGGTTGAGGTTTCAAGCCGACGGCCCAATCAGGTCTTGCGGGTAAAGGATGTTGAGATGAGGTTGACGTGAATGTCCTTCGTGAAGAGGATGAAGTCGTTGAAGATGACTACAATAGGGAAAGTAGGTCAACAACAGAGTAAAGGGCGGAGCCATGTCAAATAACTCACGGCTGTTGACGATGCTTCGTCACCTGTTGATATCCTGCCACAAGCGCTTGTGTTTGAGTTACCAGAAGGTCTTCTACTAACCGATGAGCTCAGGCGTGGGCCTACCACCTCACCACCACCAGGACGGCTGCCCACATTGTTCATACCGAAGCCGCCCATACCCACTCCTGGACCATAACTCCAAGCGCTACGCGCAGGAGGAGCTCCACGAGGCTTGGGACCCATCGAAGGTGAGTGAGTCAAGTCGCCAGGATAAGACCGATTCGAGGGTATGGCGTCGTTGCCCCCAGTACTATTCATGTATCCATTACCCGGATAGTGTCCATGGTTCTGAGCAGTGGGAGGTGAGGTTTGTACGTGTGGAATGTGAGGAGGTTGGGGAAAGTAGCCGGGTATGGACATGGGGTATGGTCCATAAGGTGGCACAGGAGGCGTAAAAGTAGAATACTGCGACGCCTGTGGCGCGACTGATGGAGGAGAAGGTTGCTGCGCCGTATGTTGTATGGGAGGATGAGGAAGTGCCTGTTGTTGCTGAGCGGGTGACCATGCATACGGTACGTAGACACTTGGATGCGTGACATGTTGTGGAGAGGGATACGCCTCCATTGCCCCATGCGCTGCTGAGTTGTCGGGCACATGCATTGGAGCTTGCGGGTGAGGGTACGGATAAGGGGCGTAGTAAGGATAACCAGGAATATAGCTTGAGGTAGGTGGTGGCTGAGGGTATGCGTACATGTAAGGATTCACGTAACCAGGTTGTACAGCAGGTTGGGCTCCATCGTACGGGGGAGCCGCCGGGGACGGTTCATACAGGGTGGGGTATTTGAAAGACGATGGTGATGGCGCTCTTGACCCTCGGGAGCTACTTGAACCACAAACATTAAATACAGGGGCGCTCGATCGCAGGCTTCGCGTGGACCCGTTTGAGCGCTTGCTGTCCCTTTTATCGCGAGCAGGTCCAGACCACTCGCTCTCCGTAGTAGGGGAGCTGATAGATTCAACATCAACGTCGCCGGTACTACTGGTCTCCCCAGCACTTGTTACGGAACCGGAAGTAAGGCTGATCGTCGAGGAGCTAGCGCTCAAATCTTTCTCCTTGCCTTTCTCTCTCTCCTCGAAATCCATAAAGATGCGTGAACGTGCTTCATTATACGCGGCCTCACGTTCTGCGATCGTCTTATGCTTCTTGCTACTGCCAGTAGCATTACTTCGGCCACCCTGGCTTCCAGATTCGGATGGCTCTACATCGGAGAGCTCAGGATCTTCTCCAGCAATTGAACCGGCCTGTGAGTGTGGTTTTGACCGACCACGGTCAGTAGTAGATCGCCGCATGATCTTGATAGTTGGGTGAGTCGAAGGCTGAGCAGGAACAAGGGCCGCTATGCGACGGTTGGGGCTATATTTGACCAGAATGAGTTATGATACTATGATGTAGAGATATACGAACATTTTACTATCCGCTGAAAGAAGGACGCTAATCGTCTTCGATACAGGCTCAGTCTCTGGCAACAACTTATAGTAGGCAGAGCATCTGTGCACCAAAAGGCGCTGATATGATGTAGCAGGCATCAGATCAAGCCGAGGCCTAGAGCTAAAAAGCCGTCAGCACATCAAAATTAATTCAACGTCAAAAAGGGCTGTAGAAATAGCTGTGCCGCATGAGCACGCAGCACTATGTCGCACATCGCGACGTAACAACCCCATGCACGACGAACAAACAAAAAGACGCACCTTCGGTCATTGATTAAACTCTCCATCTGCTCACCGAGCTTCAGGACGTATATCCTATCTTTACTTTTGAGGGCTTCGATAATCTGAGGATCGACGTCGGCAAGGAGGCTGCTAGCGCCCTCCAACTCTGCAAAAGTATCAGAATCAGAGCGCGACGGCGACTGGACATTTGCTGGTTCAGCAAGAGGGGGTGATGTTGAAGTCATGCTTGGTGCGAGACTCGAGTCTAGCTGAGAACTGGAAGATGTGTGGGACAATGAAGGAGATGGTGATGAAGAGCAGGATATATAGGGCGTAGGAGATGCTGAGAAGGAAGGGGTTGATAGTGGCTCTGAATGGCAAAGTACAGCAACGAATGCAATTATCATGGTCAGCATTCAGAAACTCATTCACAAATTACTTCAAAGGGATCTGGGGAGACGACTCACGAAACGACATGAGAAGACTTTGAACAGTAAATGGTTTGTCGGTGTCGTACACTGAAATTAAGGACCTGTCTAAAGAAAAGGTCAGGACAAGAAGATTGGAGGCATCTGGTGGTCTAGGGGAGCGTAGGTGTTCAGGATGAAAGTCTAATGGGTCCAAAAATCCCAAGCCCAATCCACCTCTTCCCACGACCCCAAGCTCCACAGCATATTGTATGTAAGGCGCTTCCAGAGTCCACATCGTTATGCAAATTATATTTTCAATAAAATGTACATGTACGTATATTTGTACAGGATATTCCATCAATGGGAGGAAATTCCTAAGGGATTAAAAATTCGGTAGATGTTGTAACCCAAACTATTGAAACGATTTAAAATCCCACAGCAGTACATGCACAACGTTACGTACCAGAACACAAACACACAGCACCCATACCCTGCTAAAGCGAGGGCAGCTCTGTTGAGCGCTCTGCTCACACTAGGATCATCTCGAGAGATCTGAAACGCATGGTCCTTAGCGGCGGTTCCGAGAAGCATAGGAAGTCAGATACTCACCTTCCAGAAGAGGAGCCCGGGAAGAATAAACGAAATAGTAGTAGATCCAATAGCGCCAACAAAGGAGAGCACTGTGTAGGGCAAATTTTGAATTCAAAACGGTCAATTTCTCGACATCGGCCAAGACAACCTACCCATTTCAAGGTTATCAACGAAATACGCAACAAGGAAACCGAAACCGGTAATAGCAGCGGTCAGCAGGGTGTGTTTCAAAGGGGACATGTCGGCAACGGCATGATCCTCGTCGACAATTTCATCGTCATTATTACTATCGGAAACCTTGATAGGGGCTCCTACGTGGAAAATCTTGTCCAAGCAATTCCTGCAAGGCTGTACTTGCAGGGGATACGAGAACATGATAAGCACGACGATGGCCAACTGCCCAATAGCGATGAATAACGATGTTGAGGGATACATGGCGATGATATTAGCACCGACCTTGATGAAAATCATTAGTATATACATGATGCAAAAGCAAAAAATAATGATTCACTTTGGAACCAAAGGTCAAATAGCCAAAGAGAGCGATGGCCTCATACACCATGATGGCAGACCCAATAGAAGTCCCAATAACAATATTCATGCGCTGTCGCGAGTTCGTCTTCAGTTCGTTGAAGATAGGAAACAACTAGAAGAACTATTGAGTTAATCGTCATGGCACAGAGAATAGCCATACATTTTGGGCACACGTGAACGCAAAAACTTGTACAGGGAACGTCGAGATGAAGTTTGGTGTGAAGTGGATGAGATGGACATCGCCAGCTGGAGCTGTACCTTCTAAAGGATTAAAGTAACATGTAATGACAATGGTCAAGAGGTACACTGGGTTGCGTGCACGCAGATTTAATCACCCGTCTCAATGCATGATACTGTGGGTTTGAGCTCACCGACGGAAAATAGGACGACGTAACTCGCGTATCTAAGGCTATCCAAACGGCGAAAGAAAGCAAGAGGGACGAGAATGAACATAATGATTGTGATCCAATTCCGACCTGATAGGGCCCACGCGGGCGGATTGGTGTTCGGCGAAGTCAAATCATGGTATAACGATGCCACAACATTGGGTATGAGTGACTTGATAATGATGAGATAGCTGAATGCCGTTAGCATCACCAAAATAATAAGCTAAAAAAACGCTCACCTGATAGATACTCCGAAACACTTGATGGCTATCGCAGCATCGAAGAATATGGCAGCTTGCGGGAATGTAAGCTGTGCAACCGCAAAAAAGGAGCTGCTTCTATGCGGGGCGTATCTAGCCGATAACGACAGCAGATACAAACCGAAGGCGGCAATACAACCAGAGAATACACATGTGAGGATTCCTGGTATGATACCAGAAGATGCCATAGCCTGATGACATCAAATGAACCCATGAAAACTCCCTACAGGTCTGCGGAACCTTACCAAAGGGAAGGTGAGCATGCCTGCACACAAACTAGTCAATTCCAAGAAACTATACATTTAACGAAAGCACTCACCACTGCCAATGATTGTATTTGAGAGGTTGCTCACGGAACTCAGCATGCTCGCATGACCTTCCTTCTGTCTTACTGAAGGGGCAGCTTCCCCTGCAAGGAGGGCGCTGCTCTCGCTATCACCTACGGTTGCGTCAGCCGCAGTTGTGAGCACTGCTCCGTATTTCAGCACCATCTCGTATGAATCTAAGTCTAGGTCTAAGGACTCGGAACTTGAAATGGCAGCAGGAGTCGAGTATCCGCTGCGAATGGGGTTGGATAACACACGGCTGGTCTGCACAGAGCTGAACCAGGTACTAGTCAGGGAGTAGATAAACCAAGCCAGCGTGTGGGAGAGCGGTAAACACAAGACTCCTCCACGAGGCAGCCTCTTAACTCACGTGGCCATGGAAGATGTGACTACTTTCCATATGTGGTAATTTGTTTTACTAATGAAATGCCTTGTGGTGCGCGGATTTACTTGTATACTTTTGAGATTCAGAGATTCATAATGAGGTATATATATCATGACCACTACAGAGTCCAGACAAAAGCGAAAACCATATCAAAGCTTTGAAAAACAAAGATAACACGATGCAAAACAAAACAGAAGTCATCAATACCGAATACGACTATGACTGCTTCCCAAGCGACCCGTCTGTCGTTCCTTCTGACGTGCCTGCATCCGCTGGTATCGTAAATTCGTCATAATTTGCTTCCCCGTGGGGGACAACTCCGATGATGATGCAGGCGAGGGTTTATCCTGCAAGTACGGTGGACGGAAACCAAGGGGTCGTAGGGGTGTCTTTGGTTGGGGAAGCTGAGATACCATGTCGTTCTCTTTATCGTGCCAAGGCATATGAGCAGATGAAGAAACCTCAACTTGAGATTTATCCTTTGCAAGAGATGGCACACTTGCGAAAGCATCAAGTAGCGATCCGTTGCGTGCAAAGATGGGAACCTGGCTATTATGATTGCGATCAATAATTTTGGAGCGCTGAGATGAGCGCGGACGTGAGGATGCAGGGATTAAAGAGGCTGCGTCTCCGCTGACGACGGCAGTGAAGCCCGGATATCTAACACCCTCATTTAATTTCTCTCCAAAAGCAGGTCTAGAAGAAGTGCCTTCAGCCTTGATGAAAGATTGCAGATCATCCTGCAGCCACGGGCTGGGATTCGACTTGGATCGCGAGGGTATCTTGGTAAAAGCACGTGGGCCGCGAGGACCTTGACTGCTTTGTCCACTGCTACTGCTCCGGCCAGTATGGTTGATAATGACGGGTTCGGACTCTGAGTGTACAATGTGATGCGGTAACTCATCTAGAGCTGGTGCAGCATGCATAAATTGTGAAGAGGGAAATACGAGCTGTGAAATAGTTTCGGCATGGGTGGATTCAGATGATTGGGTATCGCTGAGAGGGGGTTGAACGTTGTTGGATGCCAGATCCAGCATGATGTGCAAGGGAGGAGTAACTTTTCGTGTCGGCAACTTCGAGGGGCGCTCTTCAGAAATCTTTTTCTTGTCAGCGAGAAACCCAAATATCTGTGATGCACGTTGGTGAGACATTGGATTCCCATAAGGTGAATTGACGTGACGCGTGGTTTCAGTGGAGACGCTGAGCTCCACATCAAGAGAGGAGAATGTGGGTTGATTTGGTACAGAGGTATCGCCTTCAGTAGAGAGTGTGATGTTGTGGTGAGCGTGGTTGAGGTGGGAGGACATGAAAAGGGGTTCGCGAGGTGTTTTGAGTTCGAGAGAAGATGTACAAGAATTATCATTTGTTTCACTAGCAGATCTTCAGAAAGTGACGCATTAATAAGTTAGAATGCCGCTTACCATAGGACACTCTCAGCCCATTCAATATCACTGTTGTCGTAGAGCTCGGGACTAGATGGGTTGGTCAATAGCTGTCGAAAGGTTGAGCCAGTGCGACGTCTTCGCAGAGGCCCCCTGCCTCCTGCGACAGGTGGGGTATTGGAGAATACGTGAGAGTCTAGGCACCCATTATCATCATATACATTGAGCAAGCTAGCGACGGATGGGTCCTGACGAAGACGAAGAAGACGGTTCTGATCGCGGGGGGTGATGGGTACGCTTTTAGAGCGACGTCGTGGAGAGTCGTTTAAATTCCGTCTCGGAGTTGAAAAACTGTCCATGGGAGGGTATGCATTCGGGAACTCAGTGCGGCTGTGAACTGTGCGACCGTGTACAGTTACTGTGTAAGAGCTGCGTTTGGAAACACTGCCGAGGGTAGCCGTAGATGCATTCGGTGCCGGAAGAACATCGTTAATTGGATGAGCTAAGGAAGATATAAGTATTCAAGAAAGATATTGATTGTAATTCACTTACGGAGAGGTGGAAGTGATGCATAATTCAAACCTGATTCAACAGGAAAACGCGCAGAAGAGGAGCGCAGAAGTCGGCTTACTGCCGCCTCGGCATCCTCCTCTCGCGTCGGCTGCAGGTGCTTGGGAATTGAGGCCAGGGATTCAAGATCATGATGTGCCAATTCTTGTCTCTTTGACTTCTTGCTCCCAATCGAAAAGAATTTCTTCAAAAATCCCATGATAGTAGTTATAAGGTTCGCTGAGTATGTTACCCGGTTTACAGACGTGACTGGAAGAGCATAAAAGATTGTAACGATTGGAAGGAAAAACGGAACTCGATGATCTGCAATCTCAACTACAGCCAAATAACTCACAACAACACACGTCTGTTTAGGCACGTGATATTGATTTTTATCTCTTGCTCTTATGTAATTCTTTGTCAGTAAATATCTGTTTTTTTTTTCAAAAATTGAATTGTAGCCGTGCTAGTGCACCGATATTAATTCAACCAACCAACTAGTATTCCGGTAGAGCTAGTAAAGGTGCGGTACGCAGCGCACTTTTAATATGTTAAATTATTTAGTAAGCCAAGCAATACAGTCCCTACACTCTAAGTACTGCCAGATCAACGGAGTCTTAAAGTTTAAGCCTTGGCTATGTCCAAACATGTTTTACCCAAATTTGAGGTACTGCTCTGACTCAGAGAGTCAACGTTCAACGCTCAGCTCGGGATGACATTCTATGTTCTAACGGACAGTGATGATCAGGTTTAAAAAACATATCTAGTCTTGCACTACAATTACTATTATTTCCTCTCGACATATACCTCGGTTCTGCTGTCTTGCGCATATAGACGCTTCACGTGATATTAAAAAACGTTAATTGATATGGATTCTTGTAACGGGAACCCTGGAAGTTGTGCCGTTCTTGTACGATGCCGACGGCGCTCTTGGTTGTGGGGAGCACTGTCCGCGACTTTTGTATGCTAGAACGAAATTTCTTGACACATATCAAACTCGTCCTGTTGTTATTACTCATGTTTGCCTCGGCGTTGCTTGGAATCCGTCTCCCTGGACCTCCTGGCACGAGAGAATCTGAGAGTTTGGGGTCTTTCAGTTTACCCCTCGCAATTCTTCAGTTTATCGCCGCCCTTCTTACAATCGCTGCAGCATTCTGGGAGTACCACACAGGTCTGGATGACCTAATAAAAGTCAGGGCCTTCTTTGTTGTAAACAGGTAAGTCTGCAGTTCCCCAGACTTTATCATGCGGATAACAGTTGTTCGCAGACTACACCATATCATGATGGCAGCTGTCACTTTCATTATCGTGGCTACCTGTATCATATATGCGGTCAAGAGCGGTTAGCGTTTACCAGGTCACGGTGTGGCAACTCTTCCATGACTCGGTGCATCCTCTGAATCGATTCTCATGCTCCTTCTATCAAGGGCCATGAATATTCCTCGTGAGAAGGAATTGAAGTATGGTGACCCATATCTTCGTGTCATCATTCTCGCGATATCATCCTTCAAAATCCTTCCCTTCTCGAAGCAGATCACGACCAGGTGTTGTACAAGAACTGTCTCACTTCGTTGTCTTTGCATTGGTCGATCTAGACACATCTCAATGAAAGTTTCGGTGCATTCTGATACATCTCACGCTCTTGTATACCATACTCAGCTGTATTCGGTACATCATTTCGAACTCTGATGACAGAATATGTGTGAGACTCTGTGCTTCGCTAGCGGCACTTAAGCCAGCACAACTCGCTCGATTACGTGATGATCGCAGAGTTCAGGAGAAATCCACGCTCACCGGCAACCCATTAGTGTCCTTAAAGTGTCCCAGACCTTCCTCTTAGCGTTATCAACCGCAGTCTCCTCCTTTCCCTCCTTCACAAATGAGAATCAGCAAAAAGATCGAGCAGTCCAACAAGGAAGGCAAATTATGGTGGTCATTCGAATACTTTCCACCTCGGACAGCTCAGGTGCGACCCCATCGCGGTCATGAGACGCACAATTATCTGATATATGTTCATAGGGTCTCCAAAACTTGCTTGATCGTATCAAGCGCATGACCGCATTGGGCCCAGAATTCATTGATATTACATGGTAGAACGTTTACTTATATGATGAGAAACCACTTTACGCCCTGTGAATAGGAATGCTGGTGGTCGGACGTCCGATTTGACTGCACACATGGTGAAGACGTGTCAAGGCTCAGTGGGCGTAGAAACATGTATGCACTTGACATGCACGAACATGCCTAAAGAAAAAGTCGACATTGCTCTCCAGGTGTGTATCCACGTCTGATTCATTTGTGTATCTCTTTCATTTAATATCGATCACAGGAAGCAAAAAAAGCTGGCTGTCGCAACGTCTTGGCTCTTCGTGGTGACCCACCTCAAGGGAAGGATGAGTGGGAAGCGGTCGAGGGTGGTTTTGTACATGGTATTGACCTGGTCAAACACATCCACAACGAATACGGGGACTACTTCGATATCGCAGTCGCTGGATTCCCTCAGTTCCAGCTCCTTCCGCCCGCAGAACGTGACCTTGAAATGAAATACCTCAAAGAGAAAGTCGATGCAGGCGTCAACTTCATTTTCACACAGATGTTCTACGACGTCGATGTCTTTATTGACTGGGTGAATGCAGTTAGGGCGGCTGGAATCACGATTCCAATCGTTCCTGGTATTGCTCCTGTTCAGACGTGGAATGGCTTCTTAAAGGCCACATCTCTTGCGAACACCAAGATTCCGCAGTTTTTCTTGGACGCTCTAGAGCCTTATAAAAACGATGACGAGAAGGTTCGAGAGATCGGAACTAAGCTCGTGGCGGACATGTGCCGGAAGATTCTTGCTGCTGGCCTCGGGATCCAGGGTCTTCACTTCTATACCATGAACTTGGAGAAGGGGACAAAGATGCTGCTAGAGGAACTGAACCTTACGCCTCGTGTAGAGACTATCAAGCCTTTACCCTGGAGACAAGTATGTGGACACCCCTCAGCGCTCAATGCTTTATTCTGATGTTTTGTTTCAGTCGCTTACACCAAACCGACGGCAAGAAAACATCCGTCCTATCTTTTGGGCGAATCGGGCCGATTCATACCTTTCGCGTACTGAAAACTGGGATGAGTTCCCAAATGGTCGGTTTGGTGACTCACGGAGTCCCGCGTATGGTGAGCTTGACGGATACGGAATCTGGCTCAAACAAACGGCGAGTAACATAAAACATGAGCCACCAATTCAGTTACTGACTTCTACTGCAGAAGGAGGAGGCTTTGAAACTTTGGGGAGAGCCCAAGACATTTGGAGACGTCGCATCGTTATTTAGTCGATTCTGTTTGGGTAGTCTCAAGGCCCTCCCATGGTCGAATCAAGCAGCGTCTTCCGAAACCTCTGCCATCGCCTTGCAACTCGCTAAGATGAACGAACTTGGTTTCTTGACAATAAACTCTCAACCCGCCGTCAATGGCGCAAGGAGCGACGACCCACAATTTGGTTGGGGTCCAAGTAATGGGTACGTCTACCAGAAGGTAAGCATCGCCCTTGAATTGCGAGCTCCCTCTTAACATCTACATCTGCTATCTATCAGGCATATTTAGAGTTCTTCGTTGGCCCTCAACTGCTAGAACTCCTGCTTGCTCACATCGAGCATGATAGCAATATGACCTACTACGTCATCAACAAACAAGGTGACCTGAGGACGAACACCCATTCCGACGGACCCAACGCTGTCACATGGGGAGTTTTCCCCGGCAAGGAGATTGTCCAACCAACAGTTGTCGAGGCTCTCAGCTTCATGGCGTGGAAGGTGAGTTGTATTTGGCTCAGTGAAGTCATTTTTAATATTGCCCCGCAGGACGAAGCATACGAGCTAGGTGTCAAGTGGGCCAACATTTACGAGGCAGGGACGCCATCACGCAAGCTCATGATGGAGATCTTTGAATCATCATGCCTCGTCAACGTCGTCCACAACGATTTCAAGGATTCACAAGCCATCTTTGAGCCCTTCTTCAAGGCAGGTGCGGAATACACAGCCCAGCACATCAATGGCAACGGCTCTGCTGCACCCAAGGCACTTCCAAACTAGCCTCGATCTTAAGAACAAGGTCGATTTCGCATACCCCGCCTTCCACATTGCGGGTTCAACCCCCGTATGACATGCATATCCAGCACAACTAATATCTGACACCCAACCACACCACTGACAAGTCCTCATTCATCTCATCTCATCTCATCGCATCAACTGCCACAGCTTGTATATCAGCCACCCTGCATCAACTGCACACTGCATCAACTGCACCCATCCCCTCGATATAGTTTCCACGAGACAAGGGATGTTTATTGTAAAAGCCGTATACGAGCAACTAATAGTATTGTTTACATGATTACCAGTCATCGAATCTCACCACGTCTTGATAGACGAATCATAATTATAAGAGAAACGTACACCTAACCTCTCATCGCATCAGATGAGATCAGAGAAAAAAAAATCGGTATTGCTTGGAGGAGGTCCTGCCACCAGTCCACTGGGTATATCCACCTTCTCGCCTGATAGATCTAGAAGAAGTTATAGATGGTCTCTGTGGTACGAGTGGCGATCGACTCACCAAGAAGCTTGATCTTGAGGCCGATCTCTGTCAATGCTTTGATGTATCCTGCTGTTTCATCAGATGTGACATGACCACTGTCCCGCCGAAGCATGTTCAGCCCATCAGTCCAATCTGCCCACCGTAACTGATCTGACGCGATTTGGTCTGCCAGGGAACCTTCAGTGGCTGTCAGGAGAGAGAATGATAGGGGCGATGGAGTGAGATTGCTAGGCGGAGATAGGTCGAGGTGATCTCGCAAGTTGTTTGGTGGAGATGCACATGTGCCTGTGGCGATCTGGGTGATTGCTGCGATCTCAATCCGCTCTGGTAGATCTTCAAGTCCATTTCGAACGGCGAACTGGACCGCACTATCCACATAATGGAGATATTTCAAGCCGTTGTCCTATCGAGCCAATGAGCTTACTTCGGGAAGCACGCAATAGATCCATACCAGTCGTATGAATCTCCAATGCCCGTTTGGACGCCGCGAAGGACCGTTGGCTGGTGTGGGGATGCCATTGACGAACCATGCCCCTTGAAACAGGCACTGTATTCGTTGTTGACGGACGAACTCGGCGGACTCGCGGGTGATCTTCTCTTTCAAGTTCCTTGATTTCCCAGTATTAGCCAAGAACCCTAAGATGAGATGCCGAAATTCTTACCGCACAGGAACCTTGCTCAGAAGGTCGTCTTCTGCTTCAAGCTCTTGCATCTGCCTGTCCCTCACGGCGCGATACTCGCAGTCGAGGAAATCATGCTCCACCTCGTGCCATGGCTTCATGTTTTCCCTTTGTAATGCCACTTTGACCCTTGAGAGAATCACGGGTGAATATCACAAGGATTGGGAGAGATCATCACGTACTGGCTTCGAGCGAGCGCCACAATGCGAGAAAAATCGCCTGCCGCAGAGCCACTCTCATTCCACATTCGCAAGAAAAATTGTGTGGCAAGAGCATGGACCCGGTAAAAATTGAGGAAAAAAGGCTGGTATGTTGTTGATGTTGAATCTGATAATGGGTATGTTAGATGAGTTGCGTGTTCCGCGATAGATTACTGACATGCAGGAGCGAAAATCATCCAATGCTCTGCAAGCAGTTCAACAATCTCATTTGAAGCCCTTGCGATGGGGCACCGCCTGTCTACCGGACGACTCAACTGTTCCAATATAACCTACGGACGATATCAATGTTGGTGTTGGTGATGAAGAGGAAGAATAAAGATAGCTCACTTTTGAGAATAGATCCGGGTCGTCTGCAACAAAATTACGCTGCGACATAATCAGTCGAGGGACTATACAACGAAAATGACGGTGCTTACCAAACAATCAAGCCCAAGCTCCCCTACTTCTTGAAACTCGTGCACCAGATTCTCACTTAAAAACCCAAGCTTCTGCCACTTCAATACTTCACCATCGCTATCCCGCTCTTCCTGAACTTTGCTACAATGCCATATATATTCAAGAGCAGACTCATGAAGAGGCTCGACTTCGGGCTCGACAAGCGTCGATTTCTTACGGTATGTCACGCGCACGATATTGGCCTGGAAGTCGAGAATCGAGGAGGTAAGGTCATCTATATTATGTGACGACATAAGTCGCTAAATTTTTTATGAGTGGTCCGCGAAACACAAATTGGATACTACGCACAATAACCGCTTTCCGAACATTGAGCCGCTCTAGTTCAGAGATAAACTCATCCCACTCAGTATCATTGACATGCGAAAGCAGGGAATTGATCAGCATCATGCTGCAGGGACGTCAGTGCGTGCCTCATTCGAATTTCCTATGCGTTGCGCATACCTATGTAGAATCATTGCAGTATCTGCACTTCCAAGCCGATTTACGACAGTTTCCAATGATCCTTTCTCCCTCCGCATCTGCTGGAAAACGATCTGGAAACCGTACCGATACACCGAGCCAGGGGGTGCAACAGGGGGAGCTCTACTCGAACTGGCGATCAGTGGCCCAGGCGCATTCATTGGATCAGCTTCGACAAGCTTCTTTAAGATAGCGGTGGCGGGGCGGCAAACGTTGATGAGGGAATTTGGCGAAGAGAGGATTTGGACAACTTTAAAAACGAAAGTGTTGTCGAGGGTTGACCAGCCGTAGTCCAGGTCCATCAGGTTGTGCATAGCTTCGAGAGCGTACTGAATTAGATACTTAGGACTTGACCTTGCACTGAGTCAAAACGACACGCACTGCAAGTGTGTTGCCGTGCTCGGTGCAAATGATTTGTGCGAGCTCGGCAAGACCCCCATGACTCAAAAACTCTTGAGCAAACTTTTCTTCCTAAAAGCACAATTGTTGTTGACATCAGCACCCATGAATGAATAAACTCGACGCACTCTAATGAACTTCTTTAATGACCAGAGAGCCATTTTGCAGGTTCTCTCATCTCGGACGAGGAGTTTCTGGACAATTTCTGCTGCCTCGATATTGGGACTATTGACTAGTCTGTAGAGCATTAGATATACAGCGTCAGTAATACATCTCGATCACAATCCCAGTATTACACACTTGAGATTCGCTTTGTTCTTGATCTTCTTCCGCAAATTCTCATTCACGACCAGCTCATCGGTATCTTTATCCCTCAAAGCAAAATTGGAGGAGGGCTCTGTAACTTTGAGATTAACGCAGAGCTGCCTGACTACATCATCGACGGTGAGTGTAGGGTCGATTCGAGTGCGAACGGTCACGCCCTCCTTGGTAGTAACATTGTTGGTTGGAATGAGTCCTGTTGACCTGGGACGCGTGGTATTCGTTGCAGGCGGTGCGAGAGTTGTGCGAGAAGCGCCAGGCGCTATAGAACCATTGGTAGTCGACATAAGGATATTTGCGAGGTAAGAGCGAGATGGAGATATTAAATGAATAAAGATGGTTTATCGAGGTGATCTAGGATCCAGTCGGATATTCCTGAGATGGAAGGCGGTTATCATAAATTTAAACGGGCATATATTGCAATAATTATAAGTTGTAGTCAGGTATGGAATACATCGTCTCCACCACGCGTTGCAAGACACGCAGCTCTGACTGACGTGCAAATATTCTCGGATTTCATCACATCATCTGTAACAAGAGAGCAATATACTCACAGTATGTTTTGGCGAAAGCCTTCCACAAGCACTGACAAGACCTGAAAAAAAGGGAGATAAGCATGTAGATGTGGAAGCAGGACAAATATGATAATATAAGATTCAGATTATGTAGTATCGTCTGCATGTAATGAAAACATTCGGCCTGACGTGCAAATAAAAAGATAGAAAATGGCTCATCAGATAGAGCGAATCTGGACGGTTACTCACCGAACTCGGGTGCTTTGAGACTGCCAGGCCGCTACAAAAGATGAAGGTGATGAAATAACGCGATTCGCGGTGGTGCAAAAGAATGGACAGGTGGGATGAGAGGTGAAAAAGCTTTGTTGAGTCTTGACAACCTTGGCCTGCAGACAGGCAGTGAATGAGATCTGCACTGTGACGCAGTACAAGCACGAGACTTTGATGAGCACCGCCTAGCTCTCCGCAACAGCAACAACGGAGGCGAAGTTTGAGCACTGCCAGAGCAGAATCTGGTGAAAACAAGCGTCTTATGTCGCGTTTGAGCGCGCAACGACCGTGGGATCCTGTTGCCTCCAATCATCGTGATTCGTGAACATCATTCATCGTATCATTTCTTGGACGACTTCGTGGCAGGCACTCGACGACAATCATCGCAACGGCCGGAATAATAATGATCTGCAAAGGTTCTTTGAACCCATTCAGGACGAAAATCGATTTTTGTTTTTTTGATGGAAACCTTGTGAAAAGACACGTTTCTATTGACTCTGCAACAACGTCACTGTCGTATTACTAGTAACCACGTACGTACGGCTGCAACGCTCTACAACGCTGACGAAGATCTGAACAGAACGAATTAACCACCAACGAATGAACTCTTGCTCGACGTTAAGTGAGGACCACAGCTACTATGGAATCTCTGTGGCTGACCTGACTGTGTGCAGCTAGATTATAATCGATGCACAATGCATTTACTTGCAATTACAGAGCAACTCATGACGGTTCCCGGTGCAAGTCCCAAGTCAGCCTCTCTGAACGTCATGGACGCACCGAGCGGCTGGCTACTAAACGAACCCGCTTCTCTTTATACCAACTTCTGGGCCATTGGTTTGCGTTTACTGGTTGTTCATCATGTCATCCCATACCCTCCCGAGGTCTTTCACTGTCGAACGCTCGGATTCTCCAGCATCATCATATGGGAGAGCGTCGATGAAGAAACCTCGACCCATCCTTCGAGACTTGCGAAACACTCTAGCACTGCAGGCAACCGAGGGCAGCCGTGATAGTATCGAACAAGGTGTTCCCTTTGACACTTCCTCCTTCTCCGTCACAGAAAGTCCCTCCTCCCCGGAACGTCGTAGGCACCACCGCGGAAATGACAAGTATCAAGTCAGCCCCATTGCCCTCCCTGCTACTCCGCATACTGTACCCTCACTCAACATATCAGGGTACACACTCGTCGATGCGCCTGCCTGTCACGTTTCGAATCGTGATACAACCGCTAAAGAAGAAATTATTCTCAGTCACAAGCATAGCTCATCGATGATCGTTTCAGATTCTGATCGTGGAAACCCCAATATCGATAACAATTCCTTCTTTCTCGAATCCAAACATGCTACCATCCATCACTGTACCAAACCGTTCAATCCGTGGAAAGCTCCGCTGAACCGTCGCGTCGTCGATCAGAACGCCCTGGTCTTCACCATCCCTCCGTGCTCTCCCACATTCCCACTCAGCCCACCTACTGCATCAAGCTCTCCGATGTCTGACCTTCTTTCCAAACGTTCTGGTAGGATGTTCAGGCTCGTCCCAGCTCAGAATGACCGCTTCGTGCATGTTGTTGCAACCGACCTGACTGATGACCGCATCGAAAGCCCGCTGGAAAGTCGTTGCTTGTCCTCCCCGACACATGTCGGTTTTCCTCCCGATATGCTCGCACTGCTTCAGGAACTCGATGAACTTGCTAGTTGGGTCCAAGATTTTCCATACCCTGAAGAGGCTTCAGGGGCACTCGACATCCTCACCATTGGCTCGACTGTAGCTGTATCATGTCCGCATGCGCTGCGACGGCTCGACCAAGGTGACCGTTTCCTCCAACAACCCGTGTTACCAGACAAAGGTAAGAGTCGGATGCTGACCGAATCCATAGATGATATATCCGAGGTAAATCAATTTGTTTTATTGGTATTTTTTTCCAGCATTGATCTCCTTAGAAGTGCCAGTTTCATTCGGCCATTCCACCAGCCAGCACACCTGTCACACGCAGGCCATCAGTCCGATATATATACGAGCCTCAGGTACATATCTTCCTTCCCATTTATATCATATACTCTTGATTGATAACTCATGAAGGGCACACCATCATTCCTGGTTGGTAGTTCTACCTCACCGGTTGCATACCCCGCAGAAGGGTACCGGAGTCCCCCTCGGGAAGTCATCGTATCTGGTCTATCTTCCATCACCAGTCTCAATGCAAGCACCCCTGTCATCCGAGCATGCGGTCGCCGCTCCGTACCCAATGTATCACCCCCGCCCTTGGTCTCTCCACCTACTGGCCTGACCTCGTTCAAGGCGTTCTTCAAGAGGTCACGCTCCAATACAATGTCAGTGCCCCAATCAAACACGTGCGGGAGGGAGAAGAAGAAGTTCGGGTGGCTGAAGATATAACGTATAGCAGTGCTAGTGAATTTCTTCGGATGTTTCTTTACCCTTGTTCTATTGGTTCTCGTCATATTTGTAGTAGTTTTTCGCTTATAATGCCAATTTCAAATTCGCGAACATACCAGCGTACGTATCGTACCTCACCATATTTTGTTCTGTAAGGCCGACAACACAGCCCTGAGCGAAGACCTCAGTACTTTTACAAGTGAGCCATGATCACTGTGGCCGCTAAGTAAGTTGTAGACCTATCGAGTAAACCCTACTAGTCACTGTATGGCTTTGGCACTAGTCAGCCTCTTCAGCCGGAGGGCTAAATGCCGTAGTCAGCCGCAGCCGTTCGCTTCAGGTGGGGACCATGGTATTCCCTGATGTTTGGTGCGTCTGCATTGTTCTTTTTCTGTATTGCTTTTTAGTACCAAATGTCTTCCGGCACGCCCTCACGCATCCCTCGTCCTCCGGCTCGCCCATCTCCTTTGCCGTCCCCGCCGTCGTTCGAGATCGCAGCCGTCCTCGCTCAAGCAGGCCCGTTCGACGATCTCAAGTCACTCGTCCCATCGGTCTCGTTCACAGGGAACTCAGAAGGTCATGAAAGTGACTGGGAGGACGTGCCGCCTTTCCCAAAGGATCACCAGCCACCTATATTCATTATCCAAGGTCACCGCGCTCAAGTACCATTCGCTGTTCGTCCAGGTGTCATAGCTCTCGGAGACATACATCCAGACGAACGTACCGCTCGTATCGTTCTCTCAGCACCAACAATCCCGCGCATGAACTTGGTCATGAAGGAACAGCTCTTCATGAACACTTGGGTCGTGAGTTATAGATTTTTTATGGTTTGTCACTTTAGCTGACGAAATCGAATGTAGGATAGGCTAACTCCTGAGCGTCCTCCCAGGCACGTACCCTGGACTAGTGATAATTTGGTTCCTAGGCGTGACTGGATCTCTGAAGGTTCCATCTTTCCGGCTGAAACCATCAAGTTGCAAAATGGGAAGATACGACAAGCACGGATGGATCAACAGAGCCCGAATGGATCTTCCAAAGAAATGTTCCCTCATTCTACGCCCTGCATTCCAAGCATCCGAAGCCACAGGGAGACTGCTGTTATTTCAAAGGAATGTTCCGGGCATCAGGTCGGATGTAATCGATGGTCCGTTCACGTTCCAATGACTGCTATCAAGCAAAATACAGTTTCATCTGGACCAGGACCCATTACACCCATTCGCGGACGAATGGGGACACGGGCACATTTCTCGGCCAGTCCCGTTCTTGAATCTTGCTCGGATAAGACAATAAAGCAACTGGCATCAACATGCCGCAAGTCATCTCGCACGTTGCCACAACTCGGTTCTATTGATTCCCTGGCTATTCGAAGAGGCAAGAAGGTCTCCGGTTTGCAACTCAAGGAAATGGACGATCTGGACTATCCTGATATCCCTACGGCCTTCCGCGGATCTCCAACCGTTTGGTCACCGAAATTTGATCCTGGAGTCCCCAGTCCCTATGGAAAAAAATTCACCGACCACAGTAGTATGCTATCAAGCCTCAGATCGCAATACGCCGCACTTAATACGAGTGAGATCCCCATATCTGTGATGCACAACAACAAGGAATGTCAAGATACATTTGTTGACTCGGACACGGACTCTGTATCATTAATGTCATCATCCTCCCGTGACGATGAATGGGCCTTTGAGAATGACCTCGACCTTGATCTTCAAAGCGCCCTTGACAACGTGTCTCGTTGTCCGACACCTTCATTTACGCCCAAGATCGTGCCAGATATGGCAAGGGAGTCTTTGAACATCACTCCGGATCGTTGTTCCGCCCGTTCCAGCCTGACTCGTTCTTTCTCACCTCCTTGTCTGCAGTCAGTAGTCCCTGTAGTCAAGGTCTCTCTAGCGCCCCTGACTGATCCACCATGCGTCCCTCTCCCACCTCCTCCTGTTTTAATTACTCCTTCTACCCCTCCACGGGTGAGAGGAATTTTAAAGAAGGTCAAGAGCGTTCGCTTCGAGGATGTCAGATGCAGTCAAGATGTGGGCCTATTCGTCGTGCCAGTACCGGAGTCAACAGTAGCAAAACGCCCTTCTCCTCTACGGAACAGCTTCATGAGCCCTATCGATAGCGCCACGTCGGCAGACGCAAAGGAGCCTGTGGATATTGAACCTGCGACAGGTCCTCTCCAAGTTGTGCCGCTGCCCAAGGCAATTCAGGAACCTGTCATCAAGAAGAAGTCGCACACCATGAAGTCCAAGCTCGTTCCTAAGGGTACCATACTCAGCTCTTATCGCACGTCCGAGGTACCCATTCTGAAATTCGTCGACACCAACGCCTGCCAGCAGGTCCCACCTGTACCCGAGCTCAACGGGTCAGCGACCTCTACTCCTGGCCGTCATAATCGTGTTGCTAGTGGAGACAAGGAAAATGCGCAAACTGCCTATGCTCGTGCTCGCAAGCGATGGTCGACGATGAACGAGAACGATCTCAGGATGGGAGTCGAGGGTGTTGCACCCAAGAGCCGTCTTACTACGCCTCTGAGGAACATTTTCAAGTTCAAATAAATTACATATTCCTGTCGTTACCTTTTCTTGTGTTCTTGATCATTGTCCGTTGGGGCTAAGCCCTATGGTAGACAATACCTACGTGCTATCTTATATCCCTCGCCTCTTATATTCGTTATTTCGTTAGGCTCTTTATACACTCGTCAAATTCTCTTAACTCGTCTTAGTGTTATATGAACCCGGGAACTTCAAGGCCTGGTGGTCTAGTAGTATGATTCCTTGTTAGGGTTACCACGTTTCGAGGAGGTCCCGGGTTCAATTCCCGGCCAGGCCCAAAATTTTGCCTTTTTATTCCTCATCGTCCCTGACTTCGGCCTCATAATTAAAGGCGCCAAACCGACTCAGCGGTACTCCCTGCTTTGATCGTACGACATTTCAAATAATGGCCCCGGCGCAGCGGTCACTAGTAGGCCCTCGAACTCGTTAACGCTCAGAAAGAAGCTTGACTTGATCGAAAGATCTGCAATCTTCATATACCGCACAGTTCTTCTTTTTTTTTTTTGGCAACACATAAAGCAATAGGTTTGCGCCAACACCACATCGGCACTTCTAGTCATAGTACGGAGGAACATCTATCTTCATTCGTCTATGGTCTGTCTACTAGTAGGGAGAGCAGCTACAACACTGTCGCAAAGGGTTGCAAGTTGGTAATGTAGGTACCCCACCTTCCTCCATGCCAGCTCGCGACATCCTTCCATACAGCGCTACTTTCACCATTGGTAACTTTAATCCAGGTGAGCCACGCTCCGAGAATACCGTCTGCATACGTGACGGTGTTTCCCATGACGAACTTCCCTCCGCCGTTCTTCGACAGCCAGTCATCTACAGCAACAAGACCTTCCTTAGCCTTGGCCCAATCAGCGTCACGCTGGGCACCAGCAGGAGAGAACTCCTCAATCTTCTTCCCATAGGCCGCCTCTCTGGTGACTCTGAAGTACTTCTCACTGGAAGGATTCAGGATGTAGCAGCTCGTGGCGAGCTGATAAGGGAAAATGCTTCCGATGCTTCCTGTAACTCCGGCCTCTAATGCTGCCATCAATGACTTTGTGCCGGGGGGAAACAAGGTAGTTCCACTTGGGTAGGTCGTATCAAGGTATACGGCGATCAGGAAGGAGTCAGCAACAACCTTCCCAGTGTTGGGGTCATTAATCATGGGGAGGGTGTATAATGGGCTGCCATCAGCCTTGGTGCCTGTAGCTGGCGCCCCAATTTTTTTCGCAAGAGCTTCGATGTCAGGGTACTCGACCCACTCGGTCTTGTACGCAACACCCTTGATGTTCAAAGCATATCTATGTGAGTGCAAGGTAAGTGACTGCCTATATCATTGCATACACCGAGCACATACCGGGCCTTCCAGGTATTCGGGGACCACGCATTCAGCGCCAGGGTCGAGGGGAGGTCGTAGAATATAATCGGAGATGACATATTGATCGAGTGACTCTGGGTCTGCCATCTGAAGGGCCATTAATACCTGTTCGGGACTCCGCTACGGGAATGGACAGAACATAAATATGGTGAGTACATAGAAGACTTCTCACAGTATTGTTCACCTCGCCACGAGGACGTTCTTTGTGGCCCCCGAAAGGTGTGATTATACACGTCAGACAAGAAAAGAAACCACATCATACCTTGATAAATATTATAGCCTTAGTGTTTTCGTAATGTCATCAAAAGGTTGCAATCAAGAGACAGAATGAAACATGATATGATACGGCCGTACGCCCGCATCTAAGGATGAGAAGTGGCCCATCGATTCTTATGAACCCTAAGTTTGGTTCTTACTCTCAAAGGCCACGGCCACGGCCGCGACCCAAATATCCACCCCTGGTGGCGCCTCTTCCGGCAAACCCGATTCGAAACCCTCTGGCCATTATAGGCGGGCCCCACTGACCTGGCTCCCCAGGATAGTCCTGTGGGGACTCCCCCGTTTCGCGAGACCGAGGAAACCGTCCTGGCATGGGAGGGCCTTCGTCTTCGTCGTTATCATTCTGAACATTCGTGGGTGGCTATTTTGATCCAGAGTTTAATCACCAGTCAGAACCCAGTCAGCCGAGATCTCACCTCCAAATCAATGACGAGAGCTCCCATGTGCCACCCAGCAGCCGCTATGGCAAAGCAGAACATCTTATCCCTCTGTGCTTTCCCGTGACCAAAGCTGACCTCCGCGGGCTCGGAGATGCCCGGAGGATACGGACCGCCGTTGGCGACAGCAGCGCTCCTGTGTGCTTCAGTCCCGTATCCCCCTGGCTGACCGGGAGGAAGCTGGCCAGGATCACCGAGGCCGAGTGCACCTCGAGAATATTCACCCCATGTCAAAAGCTTCCCGGTGGATGTAAGAGCACCGTAATGGTAATCTCCAAGAACAACAGAGATAACGTCGTTGTTTTGAAGTGCAGGGAGAATCAAAGGATTCGAATTGGCATGTGTTTTGTGAGAACCCAAGAGAATGACAGAACTGGAACCGGGAGAATAAGCAACAAAGGTTTGAAATTGCGCAGAGATCTGGGAGACGGTTCAGCAACGTAGGAACGTTCGAAACTCTGCCGAGATAATTACATGAGATATTCGCAAGCTCTGCGGCGGCTTCAACTGGGAAGAAACATAAGCGGGGTGCTGCTGAACCTTGTCGACTTCAGAGAAGTTAGGAAGCTGAAAAGGCATGAGGCAGTTATTGTTCCACGAATAAATTTAACCCACATATTCCCATCTCTCAGACCGAACGGCAACATCGCTTTCAACAGGAATCGAGAGAACATGACCATGATTAGTCAAACCGATGAGCCTACTCTCCAAAGCTGCAAGCTTGACAAGTTTCACAGGTTCCGCTAACCCTAGTGGCAGCTCCGGCAGTTGAGGCAGCGGTGGTAACATTGTGGGTTCTTGGCGAAGCTCCCATGTCGAGCATGGGATAACACCACTCTCTGTAGCGTGAGCCCTTTGATTCGCGGCATCCATAGCCACATCTTGTGCAGCGATGACGTCCTTGAGAGGTGCAGAGAACGGCCACCACACATACACATCACCAGATTTGGTAAGGACTGACGAAAAGTTCCAGCCAGATTCGACCAGCGCAGGTGTGGAATCCAACGTTGTTGCGTTGAGTGCCGGTGTGTCGAGCCTGAAGGGACGGCCCCAGCTTAAAAAGGTCCAAACGTGATGCTGATCGTCCAGCGTAGTAGCATGCAGCCGCCCACAACTAATAAATGTGAATAAGTATTTTATTCGACGCACGAAAACACTCAAACCTAATGCTCCGCGTAGGAGATGGCATGTCAAGCCTCAATGGTGTATGAGCTGGTTTTGCCGATTCGGAGTACCCATCGTGTTGTAGAGCATACGAGGTGCCATTCAAAGTTCCTGGGTGCGATATTAATTTCTGTCCTTAATGTCGCACGATAATCTGTGGACTCACCCCACACATGTACGCTACCAGCAGAGTCCAGTGCAAAGAATGCCCTGTTTGGAGTCACATGAGCAGTTTTGTCGTATGAGACGACGACGACGACGTACCATCCAGCGGCTGAGAGACTGACTATACGCGCGCCTGATTTGATCTGCAACTCAACTGGGTATGGAACATCACGAAGAGTTGTGCTTGGTATCTTCCTCAATCCTAATCTTCCCTTTGAAGTCTCGCTAGGTGAAATAATTCGACTTAGCGGAAGAGTAACGGGATCGCGTAATAATAAGACAGCTTACCCCCATACGTAAGTCTTGGGGTTGAGTAAACCTCTATAGAGATGTTTCCATCCGCTTATTCGTGCGGTCCTCTCATCTGTAAAATTGAAATCCTCTTCCAACTTCCTCTTCCAGAATGTCTCATCGTTGCACAATCGTGCAAAGAAGTGATCTGTTTGTCCCAGATGGATGAGATCTGGAATTGCTAGCCAAGGCAATAAATTATCCAAAAGAACTTCGATAGGTAAGTCAGAAAGCACGGTCATCGTGTGAATGGTGATACAAAGTCTCAACGGGCAAGTCAGAGAGTACGACTGAGGGAGCTGGGGAGCGGGGGTTGAGCTGTAGCTGCGGGGCATCAACTGAGTGCCATGATGTCAGGATTCACGCATGTCGCCGGGGGGTTGATCATGCTGCGGGGGGTTGCCTGGTAACCAGCCAGAGACTAAAGACTGTTTTACATGTCAAGATGTCATGAAGCTTTGAAGAGTCTCGATCGCGGAGAATCATGCCGAAAAAAGTCGTCGCAAACTTAGACTACTCGCTAGTAGGGCATGGGCGGCCGCGCACTTAGCCCAGATCGCAGTACGTGGCTATTCAAACATATGTCCGCTTCAACTTGAAGTTCTTGTCAACAACTCATTCGTACATGCCCCCATTTTGCTTAAATCCTGTACGTGCCGGTCTCGCGCCACTTGGCGGCTACTCCAAGTATTTGCGGTGGTCATTCAATTTGAAGCCCATCTCCTGCGCTCGCAAGTTCTTCTCATAATTAGGGGCACTGTCACTCGATTGGAAATCCTGGTCTAGCCAGACAAACTTCACCGGAGGCGTAGCCAGGAACGATCACCAAACACTATTCTGACAGTGTCCCGACCGTCTAGGGCATGGTGTAACATATCAAAACGAGGGTGCCAATGAAGGGCGCTCATCGAGATCACCGCAGCACTTTCTGTCGTGACGGCAGACCGCTCGACTGATAGTGGCGTGCTCTCTATTGCTCTCTTTCTTTTTTGTAGTCTCATAATCCGCTGCAGCTCCGCACCGGTGAGTTAGGAGCTCCGTAACAGCCTACCCCAAGCTGCTGTTTTTTTTTTACTTGGCTCTAAAGGCCTCTTTCAGCTCTGGAAGTACTGCATGGCCATGTGAAGGAATTTTATATCACATAACGACTACAACCTTGTTTTCGCGGCGCAAAATCTTTTTTGTTTCGTTCGGTAAGTTGTTTAATCTGATAACAAGATAAGCTGACACGACCCATGACAAGTTTCACGTGTCTTGCGCGTAATTCGCCGATCGACGGTGTGCACTAAACCTAGCATCCACTGCCGTACATCTTTGACAGAAGTACCCTTCCTCGCTCGCGTTCGGCCTTTGAACCGACCAAGGTAGAGATCCATCACAAAAATACATGACCGGCTTCTCAGATATGAGGCATTCTGAAACGCAGTGCCATAAGCACCAAAGGAGATAATCAACACGTGACGGCCGCCAACTACAAAGTTATTATCCCCACAGTGGCAGGCATTGAGATCTAGAACGCTAAAGGGGTCTATCGTTCATATATTTATCAAATCTTTTTGTCGTGGCCAATAGTGGTGGAGCTTCTCAAACTGATGACGTTTGCCCATTGATATTTCTTTATTCGTCATTGAGAACAATTGTAAACCTTTATGTACACACTTTAAATTAAATTGATTTTGAACCTCATTCTAAAGTTTGTTACTTATAAATAACAGACATATCGACTTGTTCAATACGTTGTTATTACATAGATAACCAAATCACACCCGATACATTGAGCATGCAAGGAGTCCGGCGGCCCGTCAAAACAATCAAATGCGGTACCCGCGGTACAAATAAACATACACGTAATATGAAGCCGCAGACAAGTACTCGCGCGTCGCCACTTTGACGTGCACTGGCAGGGCCAGACGGCGACTCGGTGTTCAAGCAACCGGCAATGCGGAGGTTATGCTGCACCCATCATATCAACATGATGCGCTATCATCGCCCTCCACAATCGACCATGTGGGTGCATCCCTACACGCAGCTCGCCATGTGTGCCCACCCAGCGCCTCGAAGGTATGACTCGACTTCGGAACTGTCATACAGCAGAGCTTCATCACCATGACCTCTTTCGTCGAGGATCGAGTTTCAGCTGGAAGAGCCATTGCCTCGAAGGAACAGATTAATAACCTGATCAAGTCTGTATTGTCAGTTCAGCTACCTTTTAGGTCATCAGAGTCTGAAGAATAATGTCCGGTCTTCCTAGGAAAGGATACATACAGCCATCATGTGTGGAGAACGATAAAGATCAGTGGATTGACAAGGGTGTGATTTTCCTCTGATCAAAAAGTTGTGATCAGCCTCGAACCAAGTGCCTGTCTGTGGAGCGGAAACTTGCGGCCGCCATGAGAAAAGTCGGGCGCAACTGAGCACGGCCACAAAGCCAATATACGGACCGTCGTCGTCGCAGCAACAGTACAGTCCTTTAGCATGCGCGGCAATGCTTGCATGAGCGTGGCTCGATGTGGAAACAGTCTTGCTAGATTTCTGTTGCGTGGCGTAATATCGACCTCATGGCACCTTGCACTGCACTCTAATACAAGCGATATTATATCGCCTGCATCAAACATGCATTGCAATAATTGCATAAAAACAAGCTCACTCGGATGAATCTTCGCAGCGCGTGCAGAAACTCTATCGATGAATGTGATCGCGATGGGTGCGGTTGTTACATCATGTTCTCACGACTTCGGAGCTTTCAATTACAACGTGCCCTCTATAGAAGTGATGGTGGCACATATTCAAAATCGCAAGTGGCACCCTCTTCTCAGGTTAAATTTTATGAGCGGTTAGTCACGGACCATTCAGAAGAAAGGAAAAAGTCAGGAATGAATTGTCGACCCAACTTTCAAGAATCTATTTGTTTCGTTCCTACTCATGTACAGAAGTAACTATTACTAGGATGGCAAGTATGATCCGTAAAGTACAGCTCCATGATTATTGGGCAAAAAGTCTCCTATGCAATATGAGGAGTGTCCCAAACATGAACGAATAAAATATGACAGCATAGGAAAAGGAGAGGAGAAACTAGTAATGTATGTACTTAGTAGGATAATAGTCAATACCATGAACAATATAACTTCAGCAAAGATAGAGGCGTTGATGCGTGGCATAAAAGGCATAAGCATCATGAGACTGCCGCGGTATCGTGATAAAATCCCAAAGGAAAGGAATGAGATCGTGGACGCAGGACTGCTTGTCATCAAATCATCCACTCCGTCGCGTTTCATCGTAGCTTCCAATGCTCCCATGCCCAGAACCAGGACGGTTATCCGAGTATACACCATACGGAGCATACGTATTAAGGTCTGTGGTGGCTCCCGCATGCTCATAACCTGGGAGAGGCGTCAAAAGCGTGCTGTTGGTAGGAAGGCGGGCCATGGCTGTGTGCGATGAGGGCATATTTGATGAATGGGTGGCGGTGTATGTAGGACTGCTAGTGCGGGAAGTGGAAGGGAAGAGGCCACTGAAACGCTGTTGCCGGCGTTCGTAAACGTCTTGCATGTCAATATCATGCATCTCCTCCGGAGAGGCGGTTGGAGTAAACCGATCAACATGGGAACCTTGCTGCGGATGCGAGCGAAGTTGGTAATCCACGTCGGCGTACGAGTCATGCATACCGCGCGAGAGATAAGCATGATGAGCCGACCTCCCCATCACTGCTGACGCAGCAGCACGAGCATCAGCTTCCTCCTTTTTGGACTTCCGCCATTGTTTACGAAGCTCTTTAAATTCTGCAAGTGGACAGTCAGTAATTGTGTCAAGGGTTATAAATAATGACGAGAAGTCGTTATTGTCATCGTGAGGTACCGAATACACCCCGACCGAAGTAAAACGCAAAGGTTGAAGACTCACCGTTTGGACTACGCTTGACACCATGTTTCTGCATCGTGACGTGGGCATTTAAGTGGTTTAGAGTGCCGTATGCCTTGGTGCATGAAGGCCATGAACATTGATAAAGTCTTTCAATCTCGTCGTAACGCCGCCTTGGACGCTTCTTGACTGCGTTTCCAGGCAAGGCCACGAATGAGTATTGTTTACCGTCAGAACTCGAGCCTGAAGCGTCAACGAACCGCCTGGCCCCGTTGGAGGATGTGGAAGTGCCCGTACCAGGCGGTGATGGACCATATTCCTCGGAAAGGCTGCCGTAGGGCATACCCATTGTTGGGGAGCCCTCGCCACCCGAGAAATTAGGGTTAAGAGGTGATATGGGTTCTTCCAGGTCGACACCGTCGTAACAGTGTAATGAAAGTTGATCTTTGTTGTTCCACGATGATCCCGAGAGTGGATCACGCACAGACCCTGAGCTTAGCGTACGTTGAAGAGATGAGGCGTAGCTCCCATACAATCTGGGGGATGATTGTGAGGACGTGTAGTGGTGCTGGAGTTGTTGATATCGCGCAGAGGCTAGATCGGTTGAAGAACTCGTGGAATAACCGCCTATTGCGCTGCCATACATGGCTGGCTCGGACATGCGGCGTTGTTCCAAGAGGGCATGGGCGTATTTATCGGTTCCACGGGAGCTAAGGTTCGACGTAATTGGGTAACGCACCATATCCGGTGGGGAATAGGAAGATGCCGATGTAGGAAAATGATGCTGGTGATGGGGAGCACTGTATGGCTGAGGAAATGAAGCGGTCGGATGATCATCAACGGAAGAAGGGGAACCTGAAACATAACGAGTTCCGTTGACTGAGGATATATCTTCGGCAGTGCGAGTATTGGACACGGAGGTGTAATTAGATGTAGGTGAAGTATTTGGAAGTGAAGTATATGGTTGAGGTGTCTGAGAAGACGATGCTACGTCATACAAGTTATGTGGATCTGAATGAGAGCCTTCATCGAACTGAGTTCGGGATGATGTGTAGGTGTAGTTTGTTCCCGTAGGCTGGGAGGAGTAATCATGATCATTATCTACGGTCATGGGATGAGGAGGATCCAAGAGACTGGAAAGGTCGTGAAATAAGAAGTGTTGAGAAACGCGAGGACGCGTCTGATTAAGTTGCTGCTGAGCAAGAGCAAGAAGAGGTGGTGGTTGGAGGAGAAGTGGTGCCTGCATTGGATGCGAACCTGAAGAAGACGGAATCTAGCGGATGTGTGAACCGACTTAGAAAAAGAAGACGGCTTGCGGAATGAACAAGTTGAATGGATTCGAGGAATATTGACACACCAAGATTGTCCGATTAGGTGGTCGAGTTAATATATGTTACGGGATGGAGTAATAAAACATACGTGACAAAGCGCGAAGCTTGATAGAGATGAAATGGTAAGCAAATCTGTGATGAATCCAAGCACCGGAATGAAATGAAGAGGGCGTACTATCCGCAACTGTTTCGTCCCCAAGCAGAGCGCGCGGGCAGGTGCGACTACGAGCTGTGTCTCTGTCTCAACCGGTTCGCGCTGATCGTTGTCTTCTCTCAATTCAATATTGTAATGTCAAATCTAAGATCAAACTTCCAATTTCAAATTAAAAAAAACCCATTTTAATGGAACATTATTTCTATATTTAGTAGTTTACGTGCCAATCGTCAAACTCACTTTTTTCATCCTCACATCTGCCCGAAGGCGTCCCGATACACATGACCAGCCTCTCGGTCATCCAGTTGAAAACCGCTTGCCGCAAAGCCCATTCAGCACTGTTCTATACTCCAGCGTCCACCACGGAAGTTCTCACATGCTTCAAATTTCCCCAATTATCCGTTCCGTTCAGTACTCTGCTCTGAAAACACAATAATACCGTCATCATGCACATGGTTTTGCGTTGATGCCATCATCAGATAACGCGGTCCGCCGGTCAGCCACAAAACGTGCCGTCACAATTAGTCACACACATTATATCCAAAAGTGTGACTGCTACTGGATTATCAGATTTCCTCCTCCTAACTTGCAAGCGACGGGACGAGCGCAGCCACGATATGTGTAGCATGTGGTGCCCGTCATGAAATTGCCTGCGCATCTCCAAATTCCAAAGTGAAAGCTCCCGGTTGGTAGGCAGTCATCGCTCGAGTGTTATGACAGTGCGCCCCCACTTACTAATTCCTTGTGGCTCGACGCTACTAAAATCATGGCGGTGAGCTCAACCGGCGTCGTTTGTGCGGAGTGTACATGGTCACCACCCTAGGTTGAACAGCCAGCCCTGTCAGACTTTTCTCGATGGATTGATAAATTACATATGTACAGAGCCACGACGGAGGATGTATTATACAACAAGTTCGGAATATATTCAAACGACGGAAAATAATATCCTCCTATTGATACGATCGGCAGACTTTTAACATGAGCAGTCAACTCGGTGATTAAGTATAGCATGACTCAGCGTGGATGCACGTCCCAACCACTTTGACTGGAGGCGCTTCCGGGATGAGTATCACCCCGATCTGATTCCCCCAGGCTCGGATCACTTTCATTATGAAAACATACACATCGCAGAAAATAAAATGGCGACAAAGTTTGTTTCAGGTTTCAAGTCCGAGGCAGACTTTGCACCGCGTCTGATGAGCATCGGGTAGTTAACTAGCCTCCGGACAGGCGCAAGTCTCGGACCCATCGTCATTGATAAGCTGACCCGAGCCTGTGCAGGATCTTTGTAGAAAGTGGTTTGCTTAAGGCCGTTTAGAAGGTGATAGACGACTAATAAGCGCATTTGAGCGTACCTGAGCACAGTCTTTACGTCGTCCATGGGAGTTTATTTTTCAGCACAAACTGATACTGACTAAGATTGCATCAGCGGAGTATCAAACAACAGGGGAAGCAGAAGTAAGGTTTCGACGCGGTTCCGTGTCGGGAGAAGCATGACTCGGTCGGCCGCCCTTGTCGGGTCGGGCACAGCATGGAGTCTCAGTGCGTCATTTACGGGGACGGCCCGCCACGGGAAGTATGCGCAGTCTGGTCCCTGCTTGCAAGTGAAACGTACGTATGTACTACTACATACATACAATGTACATCAAACCACATGCGAACTTAATTACTTTGCGGCACCCTCTCGAAGCATTTTTTTCAATCGGAACCTAGTATTCAACCACAATTAGTAACAGCGAAAACAGCGGGCATAGCACAGGCACGTCCCGATTCCGGAATACGTGAATGCCTCACGCTGACCGTGTGGTAATTCAGCCAGTATTTTGAGTAACCGAAGTAGTATCATGGCGCCACAACGAACGAACCACTTAATATGACATCCGTGCACCGACTGGTTTATGCGAGAAGTTGCCAAGCTTCCTGATCTAGTTAGCACTTACGATAATCAATCCACAGCACCTTCCTAAAACGGGTCGCTCATCCCGAGCACTTCTTCCATTCGCCCTACAATGACCAGACCATCATCCCGAGTACCAGCGAACAGGCCGATGACACGGAGCATCACGGCACTCACCCTCAGGCGCTCCACAAGGCTTAGCGGAGTGCAAGGTGAACTCACAACAAACTTTGTTCCAAACCTAAAGCACCCGCTAACTCGTCGTTGACGTACTACATTACAACTGATCATAGTAATTCAAGCGCATACAACTCTGCCACACCACCTCATCGCACAAAATTCAAACAAACGCCTAACAAAAATAACCACACTTGCAGAGCCTCCACGGCAGTTCAAACATGCAAGACCGCCCGCACTTTGGACTGCAATGCATGATCTTGGGAAACCTATCGGTTGTCCATCCCCTTCCGGCCCCCATAGTACTTCCCCTTCATCTGACAATGTTTCCGCCCGGGAAACAGAATTAATCCTAAAGGAGAACGAGTTCCGATCCAAATCTCGAAAACTCGAAAAACAACTTGCCACTGTATCTCGCAAGGAGAGAGAAGCATCTGCATTGCTCGAAGAATGTAAACAACGGCTGGAAAGAACCACCATACGGCACCTTGAAGACTACTTTACGTGTCCATTGTAAGCAACCCAAACATTGTCAGATGAACTTAATTAATTATGTGTTCTTTCAACAGGTGTTTTGAGATCATGTGAGTCGTTTATCTGTTCTAAATGGACAACACTAGATTGATGCATAGGGCGTGCCCATATAGTTTGAACCCACGACAGTGCGGCCATACCTTTTGCGCCACTTGCATTCTCAAATGGTTCTTCTCCCGATTGCATCGCGTGTGTGGCAGCTGGCATGAACCCGTGGACTGTCCCATGTGTAGGAGTGCATTATTGTACACTCCAGATAACGTTCCCCGTCCAGAATCCTCCTTCCCTTTCATACCAAACAGAACAGCCGATAACGCGATCCGCGGCATGATCAACACTCTCGCAAAGGAGGCCGACTCTACCTCTGACTGGGGACAAGATGGTCACGCAAGGCAAGAATGGTCAAGAAAAGAAAGGCATGTTACTCCTCAAGTATCCATCGAGTTTTCCTCAAGTGCACCGTTTTAATTAGAAGCGGACGCCAGGAGATGACGTCTCTCGCTGCGTCGTGGATAAACATGCACGGGGACGAATTTATCACCATCAAAAACAGACTTGAAGTATGAATTCGACTGGGTGAGGTTCACGATAAGACAGACTGATGCGAATGGAGCGAAAGTTTCGAGTACGAAATAAACGAAATGACAAGTACTCGTCATCACTTTTATCAAATGGCACTTATCAGGGTTTACAGATTCATCGAGACTCATCATTGTTGACTTTTTTCTTTTTTTGTAAACCGGTAATTTGGAAATGTACAACTATCGTGGTGTATGTATTCGTGTTTTCGATTAGCGGGACCTATCACGGCTACTGCATTCATAATATCACAGATAGAAACAACGCTCTCTCAAACCGCGCATGCCTAGAACATCCTGAACAACAATGTGAGCCAGATCTGACTTGCAGTTGTGGCGAATCAGCACGTACCCAATCCGCGGGTGTTAACCAGATATCAGCAACCGAATCCATCTTGCCAAGAACCGCGGCACCTTTCCACGCCAGTACACGAGGGTCAACCTCTTTCGGAGGGGGGATAATCTGAACCTTGTCCATACTGGGGACCAATGGAGTGGCAATCGCCTGCAGCCTTTCCCAGTGGTTCAGTACATCTGATGATGTGTGAATATGTTCCCCGACTTACCTGCTCTCTAATGCATGAGCCATTCCAGGTATCAGAGCGCTTCCCCCAATGACCAGAACGGCCTGGAGGTGCTTGCGAATTTTATCATCGCCCCCAGATGCCCTTGCACTATTGAAGATAGCAACATCGAGAGGAAGTTTACTTGCTTCAAAACAGACATCGATACCGAGATTCGGGGCTACTGGTACAGAGGACTGAGAAGGTTGAGGCTGAGGAACAACAGGGATAGGAGATGGTTTGATGTCGCTCTCCACATCAATTACTTCCATCGGAGCATCAGCAGGAACTCCCCCCGATGCTCCTGCAGTGGATTGTGCGGAAGATTCTACCGCCGGAGGTGGTGTTGCATGCGCAGTCGAAGGCAGTGAAACCTCTTGCTGTTCTTGCTTGCCGCCATTCTCTAAAACCGCAATAGTCTCTGCTTCAGTTCTTTGAATACAGCAAGGCGGTTTTACGTACCATCCTGTGACTGAGTCATGGGAATCGGAGAATGACGGACATCCGTCGGCGCTGTAGAAGGCGGTGGAAGTAGATGTTGCGTTGAGATGATCATCGCTTGAGTCTGACGGCATGATGTGAATAAACCCTATCCGTGGCTAGGAATACGTACGACATCTACCGGATGCTCTATAATTTCTTCAGTGACGTCCGGATGGGGTATGGAGCGCAGACCAATGTGCTTCCTGTCGAACTCTATCACACGGGGCTCGAATATGCACTATGTAAGTATCGAAGGGGCCATTTGGCAGTTAGATTGATGAAGGCCTGTTGTCAGCGAAACGCACCATCGGCGCAAGTATGATCTCGTCATATGCCCGTAAGCCATATTTTTCCGTGGGTTTACCGGGCTTGCGCACTACAAAGTCATACAGGTTGAGGGCAACATCACCCTGCAACTCCTAAGCGGTGACAAAGACATGACCTGCGATGACTCACCTCCGCAAGTGTGCATAGCCGTGCTTTTAAATCCTCCATGACGGCCCAGTCGTACCATCGTGCGAGATTGATATCGCGATAGGGAAAGCTGATTCGTTCCAACAGGACGTACAAGAACTCAGTAATATCGTTTCCTCCCATATTAAGCGTGATTCTGACCGATAATCAGCGGTAAATTTTGCATCACATGTACACCTTACCTCGAATCAGGGATAACAAGACCTTCATCCACACATGCTATGCTAGAGTTGACAGCACCAATATCGACAACACACGCACTACTGATTCCGGCGCCGTAGGTTGCCGCCAATGACTCCTGCCTAATGTTAGAACTCGTTGATATTTATATATGCGTCACACACCTGTTGCACACATAGTTGCTTGAAGCCTAGTGAAACTAAAAGAATGTTGACAAATTCGCGGACGTATGCCCGATCATGGAAGTCAGGGATCACAAGAACTACAGAATAGTCCTAGTGGCATTGAACGACACCAATTATACAAAGGATCAAAGATGGCGAACCTTGTAATCAGGCCGTCTTACGTTGAACTTCTCACTCAGTATAGTACCGATAATAGTTTCAATATCATCCAGTATCATTTGGTGTGACGGATAATCCCTGGTGTTGAAGTTCTTTCCATGGATCGGCCACTTCACTGAATAATTCAAGAGTTGAGGATCGGACAACCGGAGTGCCTGAAAGATTGAGAGAACAACACTTATAATTAAAGTATGGCACATACTTGTTCACCGACCAGAACTTCTGAATCTTCCAAGGGGTCCTGGATCCAGTCGACAAGGAACGGGTCATTAGCTTCGGGAATAATTTCAGGCTTGAATTGCTCGTTAAAGGTCGACGCGACCTTTGCCGCGTTGCATGTGACGCGAAGTTTGTAGAACCTCATCCGCTCGCGAAGAGAAACAATGATTGACCCCATTTTGGCATCAAACTGTATGAGTATCTTAGCACACTATGCGGCATGGTGAAGGAATGAAAGTATGTACGGGATCATCCGAAGTGATGTCGACTGCGTATTCGTCTCCGTCGGGACTCGCAGAAGACAACTGTGGCACTTGCCCTTTCCTCGGACGCGAAATACCCTCGACGTGTATTGGAACCGGCACCGGTGGCTTGTGTTTACGCGCAATGACATTCGGAATGGATGCAGGTGTGACATCAGATGCCTTTCCGATTCTTAGAAAACGCGATCCGGGGTGGATAACAATAACGTGAGAGCCACGCCTATTCTGAGCAGCTCAGTATTACCATATGAAAGACCAGCCCAATCATGCAAATTACCCACCTCTGTTCTGGTGAGGGAGCAATTTCCTCTGCCACCGATTCTTTCTTTCGGGCTGCATTACGCGACCAAATGTTCTGTGTCTCCGATTTTAAGTAAGAAGTGCCCACATGCTTAGGGTTTGGTCTGATACGATCGTCAACACTCGAAATGTAGTCATGGTGTCAACGTACGCCAGGGGCACATGCATAGACGTGTAACGCATGCCAGAGTCATCTTTTTTCGCGTTGGGTATTCCCCTTGGCATATGGTGCTGTGTTTAGTTTGTGCAGGCGAAAAGTGAGAAAAACAAGTGCGAGTATGAGATGCGTGATGGATATAATCCTTCCTTCTGGAATCTGAAATGATCACGTATGGATCGGCTTCTGCCGGCGGTTGGATGGTTCGAGGGCTCTCGAGGGTCGAACATTTGTTAATAGCAACTAATAGAAAGTAAAATTGCAGATGACTATTGTATAGGTACAGAAATGTAGAACATGTGGATATCTATTTATATGAGATGGACGAGACAACAGACACCTGTTACCAAAATGCACACCTATGAAATATAATTGAGCTCAATACAATCAGGACAACAAAGTCATCTTACCATCCAGAAAAGCATTGACAGAGGTTCTCAAGTGAGGTGGCCTGCAAGATAAGTTTGTCGACTTGAGCAGGAACGGGGAGGACAATGTCAGGGTTGAAGTCACGCCCTGTTGATTAAGAGAAATATATTCAGTAACGTAAAGGTGCAAACACACGGAAGAGGATGAACCTGTGAGCTTGTGCTGGACACGATTGTAGACAAGTAATGCACGCTCGTTCCGGACTTCTTGCCTCGCTCCAGGTCCCCCGACAACCTCTGCAAAATAATTAGTTTCTCCTTTCGGGGTGTACGCTAAATGCATACCGTTGAAAATATCGTTTTCATTCGCGCGCAGCTTGCGAGTTGGACCTTGAGGATATCCCGATACCTTAGCAAGTTCAGCAGCACGAACAGGATCGGTTTCGCCATCTGCTGTTCACATGAGCCAGTCGAATGATAATAATCAAGTGAGGCAGACCTTCAGGTCGGCGTGAATCAACGTCGGCTTGCATAAGCCGCCAATTTATCAGGGGATCATAAACAAAGGCCTCCAGGACTGCCATCAGGGACTCCTTATTCGCGCGCAGCACGGACATGGTAATTTCACAGGTATGCCGGAAACTTCCTTCAATGCCGCTTATCTGCACCGTCATAGTGAGCTTAGGAATGCCTACAGTCTGTTACGAAAATTACCTCCATGGCATGTGTGAGCATACGAGTAAGTCTGAACGGAATCTTCTCGGGGAACTTCTCGCGATGCATGGCGACTTCAAAGCAGTCCCCGAAATCGATGTGAACAACTTTGCCGGTCGTGCGCTCCAGTAATAGATTGGACGGATGGCGGTCGCCAAGACCCAAAATATGGCCAACCATGCTGTTCACTGCCAGAGAGCGGGTATAGGTCGCACGGCGTTCAAGCCAATGCTCTGAATTTGCGCTCTTCAGCCATAGCACGCGATAGAGATCCTGACCGGTGGTATTCTCTAACGCATATTCAAATACTTCAACCTTTTGTAGTAACGTTAGGTTCTCGTAGTCAGGTGCCATCTGGGACATATCAGTAGATGAGACATGTCCTCTAAATAGTAATACATACCTGGAGCATTAGTCGATACTCTATATTCAAAAGAACTTTGCGAGAGTCTCGATAGTCACGAACAAGGACGTGCAAAGTATCGCTGTCCTTTACCCAGCCAAAGAGACCGGCGTTGGGTGCCAATGGAATGACAGAGTAACGCTGGATGTGTAAGCGTCGCTTGAAGCTGTTGGTATCAACAGACAGAAGGGTATTGACAAGACTGAACAACTGCATAACACGCTCGTCTTGACGCAAGTCTTCGTGCCCTGTATATAAAGCAATAAGCGATGTAGTAGTGTTGGGGTGACCATGCTATTACCTTTCAAACCATATTGGTAGTCCTGGCCATCACTGCCCTTCAGGGATAGTCGCCGTGGTCGCTGCTTGGAAGCTATAACAGTGAGCTTGGTGGCGAATGATGCAATGCGAACGACGTCTCGGCCACTCTGATATGTTCCTTAGGTTGGCCAATAAGTACAGCGCAGTACCAAGTAAAATTCAAGGTACATACCGGGCATCGCCAGATCAAGATCGCGGG